GGACAGTCCTCAAACGCCGACGTTATACCTCGTCTTTCCCGGCTACCGGCCTCACCAGTCCCTCTTGAACCGCAAAGGGTCCGACGCCAGAAACAATGTTGCCGCAGTTGCCGGTAAAGTCAACAGACTCTTTTCCCACCTCAACCTGAACAAACGTAAAGTCGACGTCGATTCCCGGGCGGTTCGAAGGGGAGATGACCGCCACTTTGGACGTTGTCGACGTGCCGCCACCGATGCCGTCGATTTGCCGCGGGTCGGCGCCTTGAGATCCGAGCGCAGAAATGAGATGCGGCGCCCAATCACTCTGCTGGTCCGGAAGATCCTTTCGATGTATGAAGAGGCCTTTTGATGTTCCTGCTCTCATTAGCACAGATGGCAGTGTCCGGCACGTCCGTCGCGGGTGCGCAAGACCGAGAATCGCCATGTCGGATGGTTGGGACCAGCCGCGGGTAAGCTGCTGCTCAGTGCCGTGACACGTTGAGAGTCTCCGGTGGAATCTGCAAGCGTTCTTCAATATTTGACCTGACCGGCTTGCCAGAGATGCTAATGGCATTGAGTTGAAGACTTTGTTGCTCTCAGTCTGCTCCTGTCGTGACTCGAAGCAAATGTGAGCACATGCTCCGACGGACGCCCTTTTGCCCGCATCCAGAGCCGCCCATCAGAAAGTACATGAACTTTAGTATCATGCCTGATGCAGTGTATACACCGTACATGATACGGCTTGGCAATGATGCGCCCTCTATTGTTGACACGAGTGTGGCGAATGCTTCCACGGGAAGGCCTCGATGCCTTCCCGCGGGAAAGGGCCACCCACCTCACCACCCCGTGAAGGCCATGTTTCCCAATGACGCACTGTTAAAACCGAAGATTGGGTCTTCCAACAAACCGGGTTCGTTGTTTGGGGGCCGCCAGCTCTGCTGCCATGGATAGCTAGTGATGCTGTTGTATCCGGTATCTGGAACAGGCAGGGAGGTCGGAGGCAGACCAGTATGTGGCTCGTACTGACTCGGAGATGGCCCGAGGTCCGGCTCTTCAACTCCCGCCGAAGCCGGCTGCTGCGCCAACCACGGGGCCATGGGCAACTGGTTGGCCTCTGTCGTTGCATAACGGGTTCCCTGAGCATCGCTCTCCTGGAGGAAGCTTTGTATGATCCCATCGACGTCAACCCACTCAGACGCCGGCGAGCTCGCCACTCCGTTGCGCGCCACAGGTACAGCAGACTCTACGGCATTTTGCTGTTCAACATTGCTTTCCATCTCAGAGCCTGGAGGTACCTCGGGTCGACTTTCGCATTCGTCGTCTGAGTCTACCGCCTGACGACTCGCGCCACCGGCCTGATCCATCTCGAGTGCGTCGCCGGGAATAGTGGCAATGACAACGCCAAGCTTTTTCATAAGGCTTTGCACAATCAGCGTGGCTTTTCTCACTGCCGGGTTCGTCTTCTGGTTGATCTGAAATACGGCTAGGCATGTCGCCAGATTGCTGTACGCTGTCGACTCGTGGCCGCGCTTGGCGGCAATGCGGGAATGTATCGTCGCCGCGACGTAGGTGGCATATGAGATGAGATACGGCGCTGGCTGGACAGAAAATGCGAAGTGGTACGCGCGCAAGAGCAGTACGATGCTGGAGGCTGCCGAAGCGCACTTCATGAAGGACTCGACCGATATAGATCGTGAAGTGCTGTACAGATGGCCGTCGGCCACAAAAGGGCGGTGCAGCAGGATAACGAGTACATGGTACATGGCACTGCCCTGTCAGCGGTGGCACAATCGACGAAGCTTTTGACTTACTGCAAGCTGAATACGTGGGGCGGCGGAAAGGCCTTTGCGTCCGACGGTGGCCTACTCGGGTCAAACTGCAGGTGAACAGGTAGAGAGCTCTTCCAAGCGCAGAGTCTACGCTGGAGCCTACCAAGCATGGTTGACAGTTCTGTCGGAGTTTGTGAGGAACTGCGCTCGGTGTAAATGCAACTCAGAATGTCACTCATGACTAGTGATAGCTTGCAGAGAAACGTGAAGGTCGATATACTGTACGCGGGCGAGCCGGGATAATCGGTCGCAGCGGTAGAATACGCAAAGGGCTGCCAGTGCTCGAGCTCCTCATAACTGTCGAGGAACTTGATGGGCACGAGCGCGTCGTTTTCCTTGAGGCTGACGGGACGACCCTGATAGAGGCTTTGAACCTTGTCCACCACTAGATGCAGTGTGAGCACCTGCTTTCACCACATACAGACCTCAAACATGCTCACCAAATGCGCCCCAGAATACTCGCCGGCGAATCTCGAGATCCTCGTCGGAGAAGCGACCCGTCGTGGACAGGTCCACGTGCATCCCCAGATCGATAAGCATTCGGAAAGCCAGCCCCGAATACAGCCAGGCAGCACTACGCTCGTCGCCGAGCGCAAACAGCGAGTTCGTCATTACGAGCAGGGCCTGAATGGTCGTGACATCGCTCCGGTCCAGCGAGCCGCCCAGCAGCTCCCTCACGCGCTCGCGGAAGCGCCAACCCGCTGTGCGCACGTCGTCCGCGTCGCGACGCACCTCTAGGCGGGGAGAGAATTTACTGGCCCCAAAGTAGATTGCATTGAGAAGGAGCTTGGAAAAGTATGGCCCGTTGCACGCCATGTCACGCATAAAGGCCGGACGGTGGGTCAGCAGAAAGGAATGATGCTGCCGGTTCCAGTGCAGTGACAGAAGATGCATCCCCAGCTCGGGCTCAACGCCGTCAAAGTCGAGCTTACCCTCGCGATAGTTAAGCTCTTCCAATTGGCCTGTAGACTCTCTCAGTCACGATGCTGATCGGACAAGGCGTGTCATCGATGGCATCGGAGCAAGATGCACGCAAGACAGGAGCTCTCAACTTACACTGACGGACCGCCTCGGCGACAAGACCACGCTCCACCCATTCGTCAGACATCCGGGGCCGGCAGTCGCTGCCTGCAGGGCGGTCCGGTGGGTTGCTGTCTTCGAAGAGAGTGCTCGTGCGACCGTGATAGCTGGAGACGCCGTTCGCCGAGACGAGAATCCTGGCGACCCGAACCTCTTCGGCGGTCGGTCCCCGCGATTGTTCCTGCGATGCAGGCTTTAACGCCCTGGCTGCACTGGCAGTAACTGCCGGGTTGTGAATCTGTTGCGCACGCGGCGCATCATCTTCACTACTGCCGTCCCGGCTGACGGCCGCATTACGAACTTCTTGCTCATCCTGTGGTACCGATGGGCCGGCCGATCGAGCTGCCTGCAATGCCTTGTGGGATGCGCTACCCTGCCTCAACCTGCTCTTGGTACGGAGGTGCCGCTCCCTGCCGGCGACCTTTGCCGTGTCGGAGATGGGCTCGTATATGCACTCCTGGCCATAGGTGGTGCAATTTGCGCAGACAGGACGCTCGTTGTTGCATTTGATCTACTCGCACTGTCAGACTGCCAATTGATAGAAGGATTCGCTTGAAGCATTGGAGGATGAGCTGGCGTGGCACAGCGGGCCTCCATGCTGGGTGTCGTGCGAGGGTGCTGTACAGTACCTTACGGCGGCGACAGAAGGAGCAGGCCTCCACTGCTCGGCGCTGGAAATGGGGACGTGGAGAACGGGTGGACGGCCTGTGCGGAGTAGGCATGATGGTCGTCAAAGACCCATGTAGACAAGAGAAAGGTTCAGTCGTGTCGAACTGTCTCGCCCAAACGATGCAGCGGGAAGGGTTCGAGAGAACGATGCCGCGGGAGTTGGCAGATGCTGATGGTTACTCACTGTCAAGTCCGTCTTCCCGCGGGAAGGACGTGCCCACAGAGTCACGCTACTGCCATACGGTTGGCCGCTTGGCATGCAGACCCCCTTCCCCCCTCCTCTGTGGGCCCCGGTTGGAGATGCGTGTAAGTCCTGGGATGGCCACAGTCACGCACCAGTGAGGATGCGCGGACATGTTCAACGCGAGATTGCTGTACCGTACTGCACTGTATCATCACGAGGCACCATACGGCGTGTTTTGGGGACACCATCCCATCTATCGCGCAACAAAGGCGGCAGTCTCTTCTTGCTGTCTGATTCGCGCCGCTCCGTGCCATGTTTGCTTCACAGTCACCCGACACCAGACATTGTCACCGCATGAGGCATACGAATTATAAACATGAATACAGTGGAATCTCATCATCGAACCGTGCGCTCGAGTCGTCGGGTACTCTCATTCCAGCTCGTCGGAGCCGAAGATGGTTGCGCTGACATGGAACCTGTGGCCCAACATGACAAGACCAGCACTGCAAGACTTGAAGCCGCCCACCGCCGTGCAGGATTTTGGTAAACTAGGTTGATGAATGATACCAGTGCGCGGGAAGCTAGCCAAGATGCAACGACGGCAGGTTGTGTATCGAAGCACTCCAACTCTCGGCCACGGTCCGTTGGTCGCCGCCTTGGCACCAGACCGGTCCAGCGCTGTCTGTGCGAACAACGTCGAGTCCCCAGGGCAGTACTGAATTGTATCCATCCTCCATCCCTTCCAGAAGCGCAGAAGAATGCCGGCTCCTCATTTTCAAGCCTCTCACCTCTCGGCCACACTCCGACGTTCGGAGACGCACACGCATCCCGCGGGAGCGCATCCAGCCCACCCAGCCATCTTCATCCCGGCCGTGAACAATCCGTGCGCTCGACCAGGATGAGTGAGCGTTCAGAAGGATTGGTGGACCGCGACGATGTCAATCGGGCCAACATGCGGGGGAAGAGTGTGCTCGACGGCTGCGCTGTGCATGCACGTTGTGTGACCAGCACGATGAGTTTAGTTCGTTGGTTGCAGGCACCGTTGGTGTTGCATGATGAATCGAAGGGGTCCTCGTGCGAGGGTATATAGAAACTGGCTCTCGACGAAAGCTTCCCGGTGTGTGAGGCCATTGCTGGCGATATACTCAAAGGGTATCGACAGGACAAGCATCCGTCACCTCATCGAGCATTGACTACTCCCCATCGCCCGCTCCAACATTATACAGCATACCCAGCAGCCTCACGACGAACCCATCGCCATGCCACCGCCCAACACCACCGCCCCGGCCTCCCCAGGCATCGGCGCAGACCTTACCGACGAAAAGGCCGAAGCGCAGCGCATCGAAAACTACATTCCCCCGGGGTACACGACGCCGCGCGACATCCAAGACCGCTTCCCCACGCTGCGGGACCTCTCGGACGACGAAATGGCCGCGCTCAACGACCGCGTGCTGCGGCGCATCGACTGGCACATGCTGCCCTGCGTCTCGTTCATGTACCTCTTGAACTACCTCGACCGCATCAACGTGTCCAACGCGCGCCTCGCCGGCCTGCAAAAGGACCTCGGCATGAGCGACACCGTCTGGAGCCTGGGCATCTCCATGTTCTACGTGGGCTATGTGATTGGCATGATCCCCGGGAACATGCTCATGGCCAGGTCGAATCCGAGGTACTTTATGCCGGCGGTGATGCTGCTGTGGAGTATCGGCACCGTGTGCATGCCCGCGATGAAGAGGTCAGTTATTAGGAGTGCCAGTGTGAACCACCCCAAAAGAGGGTGAGATGGTCGCTTACAGAAGTGACAGCGGTGCCGGCTTTGCGGTCGCGAGGTTCTTCATCGGCCTGACTGAAGCACCCTTCTTTCCATCCCTCACTTTGCGTAAGTCATGAAACTCAACCACTTTCTCCCAGTTACACACACTCTCTTTCTCCCACTTACACACACTCTCTTTCTTCCACTTACACACACTCTCTTTCGCCCTCTCGAAAAGGCAATCCGTCTCACTAACGCCTGCCAAAGTCACCTCCTCCTGGTACACTAAGGAAGAGTCCCCCATGCGCATGGCCATCTGGCACGCCGGCAACACAATCTCTAACATCATATCCTCTTTCCTCGCGGCCGGCATCCTCGAGCACATGAACCACGTCGCGGGCCTGCGCTCCTGGCAGTGGTTCTTCGTCATCGAGGGCGTCGCGTCGGTGCTCGTCGCCGTGGCTTCCTACTTTTCGCTGCCCGAGTGGCCGTCCAACACGCGGTTTCTAAACGAGCAGGAGCGCGAGATGGCGCAGTACCGCGTCCTCGTGTCCAATGGCGGCATCGATGAGGAGCAGGGCGGCATCTGGACGGGCGTCTGGGCCGCCGTCAAGGACCCGTATACGTGGCTGTTTACGCTCATGCACTTTGCGCTCGTCACGGCGCAGAGCTTCAAGGACTTTTTGCCCTCGGTACGTTTTCAACTCCTCTCACCTCCTCTATGCTCTCTGTCCTCTAGTTTCTACCCGCTCTCTCTCTCGGGGAGGGGCAGGCGGATGCCTCACCCCTGGCACTCTTATGGCTACTGACCGACTGCTTGCGTGGTGGACCAGATCATCGAGACATTCGGCTACAGCAAACTCATCACGTACCTCATTCAAGCGCCCCCCTACGCCATCGCCTACGCCTTCGCCTGTCTCGTCGCCCTATCCTGCGGCCGCCGCCAGGAATCCACCTGGCACATCACCATCCCCATCGTGTTCGCCGCCGCGGGCGCCTCCATGATGATGGGCACGCTCAACGTCGGCGCGCGCTACTTCGGCCTCGTGCTGCTCATCAGCGGCACCTACAGCGGGCTCAACCTGCAGCTCTCGTGGGAGACGACCGTGGTGCCGGCGCCGCGCGCGAAAAAGGCCGCGCTCATCGCCATCGCAGACAGCATCAGCCAGACGAGCCACTGGTTCAGCCCCTACTTTTACCCCAAGAAGCAGGCGCCGTACTATCGCATGGGTGGCGGGCTGGTCATCATGGGGTGTGCGCTCGTGGTGGTTTGCTGCTTCGCTGTGAGGTGGAGGTCGGTGAGGCTCAACAGGAAGCTCGACGAGAGGGAAGGATTGAGGCCGGGCTCGGAAGAAGAAAGGGGGTGGAGATATCGCTATTAGATTTGATGGCAAGAATGAGGTGGCTTCGAGCCTCTTGCATGAAATGGTAGAAACATGTGGTGTTACTCGCCTTGCTCTCGAATTGGCACATGCCAAGACTCTCCCGTGCTCACCTCTTTGCGCATCGTCCCATGTCCTGTACAAACACACCACAATTCTTACTCACAGCTTCGACGCCTCATGCAAGAACCGCGACGGCACAGGCACCCACACGGCGCGTATATACTCGGCAAACCCCTTGCCCAAGCTGTCGAGCAGCTTGGAGCTGCTCACCCCCCGCCCCAGCGGGCCATACACGACAAAGTGCACAGCGAATATGCCCGGCATCTCAACGCGCTCGACGTGGTACCACGGCTTCCAGTCTTCGCGCATCAGCTCGCGCAGGCGGTCGCGCGTCATGAAGCTGCGCAGCCAGGCCCAGCGCTCGGGGGTATGCACAAACAGGCCTAGGTTCACGTTGCCGCCCTTGTCGCCGGAGCGGCCGAGCACCACGTCGCCGAGGGGCCGCATCGTCTTGGGCCCAAAGGACGTCAGGGGCGCGGGGTCCGTCGCGTCGTAGCTCTCGCGCGGGGCGAGCGGTTCGGTGACGGCCGGCGCGGGGATGGCGATCCGGCGTGGCGGCGACTTGTCCCGCGGGCTGGGCAGCAGGGTGACGGCCTCGTCGAGCTCCGTCTGCGGTACCACCGCCGGGTAGTAGCCCAGGAACGGCCGGGGTTGGACTGTGCGGAAGTCGAGCGAGCAGTGCATGCCTGTGGAAACAGGGTCAGTATGTCAGGTCTCTGGTGTGCGAAACGATGTCGATGAAGATGCCGCGGGCAGGGGTTGAAGGCTCATCTCAATGAGGAGGCTACGTACCCGGAAAGTGAGCCATGAAGCAAAAGTTCCACGCGCCAGCCACGGCGCTCACCGCTGCCTTGTCCCGCGCCTGGGCAAAGATGCGCATGTACGTGGTCGCCGACAGCTGGGAGCTCGGGTTCTCGGCGGACGTGCCGACGCGCTGAAAGTCGAGCACGTCGAGGGCATCGAGGGCACCCCATTCGGCCAGCCGATGGCGCACCTGGGCCTCCTGGACATCCCACTTGTGCTTTGTGGCGAGACCCGTCGCGTTAATGAGAATCTCGAGCTGCCAGCCGGCGCGGTAGAAGACGGCAAGCTTGGTCGTCGGCGGCGGAGGATGGCCGCGGACGCCCCAGACACGGACGCGGTTTCGCGATGACCCCGGCTCAGCCTCGACACGAATACCCGAAATGTCGGCCTTGACGTCGCTGTTGAGGTATATGTTTCCCTGCAGCTCATACAGCAGCTGGCAGCGCACAGTGTCCTCGGTGACGAAGCCGCCGAGGCGATCATGCTTTGTGACGACGCATGTGCCGTCGGGGCCGACCTCCGCGATTGGCAAGCCCAGATCGACAAAGGCGTCGACGGGGTGGCGGTCCGCGCCAGCAAAGTTGGCGCCCGTGACGTAGGTCGAGCACTCGATGAGGTGGCCTGCGATGAGCGCACCGGCGAGCTCGTCAAGACGGTCGGGCGCCCAGCCATACCACCACGCGGCGGCGGCGATGACGGGCGAGGCGTCGGCGACACGGCCACAGATGACGATGTCGGCGCCCTCATCCAGGGCGCACTTGACGGCACGGTAGCCCAGATAGGCGTTGGCGGCGACGACGGGCATGCCCTCCGGGTCGGAGAGGAAGGCGAGCGCGTCGTCGGCGAGTGTCACCTGGGGGTTGTCCGCGTCGAGATGCCGCAGCGCAGACGACGGCTTGCCATCCTTTTGCGCGCCAAGGAGTGCGCCAATCTTGGGCATGAGATTATCGCCGTCCACATAAGCGACGCGGAGGGCGAGGCCCTTGTCGGTGATCTGGGCCGGTGAATGCGAGTTCATGCCAGCGTACGAGCACAATGGAAGGGGTCATGGAACATACCATGTCGCGGACCTTGTCCGCCAGGCCGGCGGGGTTGAGGGAGCCGCCATTGACAATGACCTTGATACGCTTCTCAGCGACCAGGTCGAGGGACATTTGGATGCCCGCCAGGGCGGTGGGCACCCAGCCGGGCTCAGCGGCGTCGTGCATCTTGAGGGCATCGCTAGCGAGGGTAGCCTCTGCGACGTCGGTGGTGGTGAGCCGAGACGAGCGTTGATGATGAGCAACGGGGACGGCGGCCACTCACCCGCGAGGTAGTCACCGGTGATGACATCGACAGGTCCGTACGCGGCCTGGTTGTACATGTGTACACCGGGGTCAGCTGCGTGCGAGCAGTCAGTCAGTTGGACGCATATCCCTGACAGACAGATGTTTATGTGCAGGGGGTTGAGGCGACGAACTGACGGCGCCAGAGCAGTTGGCGATGCGGATGGGCCGCTGGGCCGCCGCGAAAGGCGTCATAGCAGGTGCCATGGCGGGCGACGAGGCAGAGGATCGGACGATATACGTTGGTTGCCAGGGACGAGAGCCGGTGGTGGTGCAGTGTCGTTATGTTCTGGTCAATCCAATACCAGTGGAAGTGTGGGATGTCATTGCTGGTGACCTCAACGGCAGTAACCTGCGCCGAGTACACTGATGGAAGTGCAACGCGGTGACTGTTATGGAAAGTCTGGAGCCTCGGGACGGTTGGCTGGCAAGGGGGGGGGTTGTTGGTCGTTGGGCGGCGGGCGTTGGAGATCTGCGGGGTGAAGGTTGGAGAGCCGAGGCAGATTGAAGAGGGGCGGACAACGGGATCAATGCATCGATTAAAGGCTGTCTGTGGCACGAGCACGGTGACAAATGCAACCTCGTGCATCGGGAACAACATCAATTGCCTGGTACCTCAGGTATTCCTCCACCTCAGTATCTACCGATGCCGAAAGCCAAGGCACCTGCAGAGGGGCGTTTAACGGGCTCTCGGGCGGGCAGCCTCCTGCCATGGATACCTACGTAGGACTCGGGAGGTTGCGCGTGCTGAGGACCACAGCGAGGCGCCTCACTGAACGCCCCCTATGTCACGGACATTGGTTCTCGACCCCACGGCCCGGGGCATTGACACCTCCCACCGCCAGCGCACACGCACCCGCCAACTGCTACCCATAGGTAGACGCATCGAGCCACACGGGTGTTGCGCCGACGCCCCGTACGAGCCTCAAAGTACCTAACGGACCTAAAGGCACGATCCATGCATGCATCGCATCTACCCACACAAGGCCAGTGGAGTGACGGCCCCGCCCCCGCATTCACGGGCCGCAGGGAATGACAGTTCTGGATCTGCTGACTGCCGGCCAATTCATCCATCCATCTCCGATTCACCGCTCGAGTCACCATCTACGTAGTGCGGCCCACGCTCGTGCTCGCATTTCGCATTAACTCGCGCAGACCCAGTCTGCAGACGCCAGAGAATCCTGGTCATGTACGTCCACGGCCCTGTAGGTAACAAAGCGCCGGCGAAGCGCCGTACCTTCGGCGGTGGGAGAGTAAACTGTGCCGTTCCGACCACGGCTCCAGGGTTCCTGTCTATGCGGAGATCCAATCCCCAGATCTCTTCCGTACAGGAATCCGTCTCCAGACCTCAGTCCATCCAGATCCATCTCAAGGCTCCCGCCCATCCAGATCCATCGTGTATTACGGCCGTGCGCTCGTAGGCGTGCCAGCCCAGTCAATCCCTTTCCCAAGATTCATCACAAGAGTCCAAAGTAAACACACATATACACAATGCCCAACGCCAATTCCCCTGCCTCTAGCCTTCCTCAGGCCCCTGTTCCGTGCCGCGAGCATTTTATATCGCGACAGGAGTTGCTGTTGTGGTGCTGGTGATGTGGTGGTGGTACATGACGGCCATGGCACCACGCCACGACGCGTCTCAATGTCGCGGGGGCTCCGCGCATCTACTTGCGATAGGCAACGCCCGGTCGCCGCTTCGCGGGCTGCGCCGCCGGCCTGCCTCGCCGCTTCGGGGCGGCACCTTCGGACTTGCTGCCTGTTGCTGAGCCGACCCTGGCTGCCGCCTTGGCCTTGGCAGCAGGCTTTGCGACTGTCGAACCCGAACTCGTGCTGCTGGCCGGCTTCGTCTTGGCCGCTGCCTTCGTCTTGGCCACTGCCTTGGCTTGCTTGCGCGGCGCCTTTTCCTTGCTCAGCCCCTTCATGTATTGGGACACAACGGACGGCGCCGTGCGCTCCACGCTCCGTCGCGATACCCAGGTCGCGTCCTTGGGACCAAAGCCGACCCACTCCACCAGCAACTGCTTACGGTCGGGGCTGTGGTCTCGCACTCTGAGAATGTCGAACACGTCCGGGTCCGTGGGACTAACCGGCCGCCCGCCCTTTTCCTCCCAGTAGCCCAGCAGCGCGTCGGGTACATCCTCGTGCAGGTTCGCCTCCGGCTCCCACGTCTTGTCGCCAGCAGCCCATTCCACCTCGATCTCGATGGACGTGCCGTTGGTGGCCCAGCGCCAGTTGCTGAAGCGCTTGAACGAGAACTCGTCGTCATCGTCGTCCTGTTTGTTCGACTTGTCGTCCTTGTTGTTTGGCTCGGCGTGACGCTCGTCGACGTCCATGGCGTCTTCGGCGGGCGTCGCGGCTTGTTGTTGTCGCTTCTTCGGCGGCTGGGGCTGTGTCTGCTGCTTCTTCTGCTCCTTTTGGGTGGTCTCTGCCGGTTTGTCTGCGGCTTGGGCTGCTTTCCGCGGCGACTTGGGTCGGGTCACGGGCGTGGTCACGGCCGGCGCGTCGGGCTTTGCCGGCGACGATACAGCGGCGCGCTTCGAGGGGGCACGCGTCGGAGTCGAGGGGCCATCGAGGGAATCGCGGGACGGCGCGGGCTTGCTCGCGGGCTGTCTCTTTTGCACCTTGCCCGTGCTCTTAGCTACCTGTTTGCTTCTGTCAGCACGAAAGTCATCGAAGACGTGCGAGCGCGTCCGCGTCTTGGGCGAGAAACACTCACCGGCGTCGAAGCGTTGCTGCCGCCCGCAGGCGACCGTTTCTGGTTCTTCTTGGACGTCGTCTTGGCCTTGGGCGAAAGCGGCGGGCGCGCGTCACCGTCGTCCGAAGGCGTGCGCGGGCCGGCGCTGGAGCCCGTTTTCTGGGGGCTAAACAGCGTGTTGAGGAGGGTGTTGAAGACGGCTGGAGCCATGTTGGGTAAATCTGGCGACGCGCCCCGGTGATACCGCTGCGCGCTGGAAAGCGCGTGGATGGGGGAGGAATGCTTTGGGGGAAGGTGAGCTTCGCGCGGGAGCTGTGCGCAGCTACAACAGGCGGCGAGGTGGTGTTTCTTGTATCCCTGGGTCAGTGCGATCAAGGTGGCGAGAAGAAAGAAAGATCAAGGTGGAAAGAAGAAAACGATGATGAAAGGAAAGGAAAGGAATGGGAGAGAAAGGGGTGTGGCAGAGGAAATGAAAGCGGGCGTTTGTGTGTGTTGTGTTTTTGGCAAGACGAGGCAAAGGGACGGGCAGCTGGGCAGGCAGATGACGGCAAACCCGCCCGCCGCGCGCGCGAGACAGCTGCTGGAGCCGCAGAATTGAGGTGGGGTCCCGGTGGGCGCCACGCCGTCTGCAGGGGCAGCTGTGCCGCAGCCCAGCCCATGGCAAGAGCCGCTGCGCTCCACTGCTGCCGGGCAGCCCAGTGGGCGGGCGTGTCCACGCCCGGGCCGTTCAGCAGTGCCGGCAGGGGACGGGTTCCAATGGGTGGCCTGGCCAGCGGGCTGCAACGCTCCAGGGCTGGCTGGGCTCCAGCTGTTAGGTCCATTCGGCACGACTCCCGTCCCGTCGGCAGCGACGTGACGCGCCATAATGCAACCCAAACAGGTGCCCGGGCGTCCAGGGCTCTGCAGAAACAAATGAGAACCAACCCCACGTGACCGTGCTGCCATTCCTCCCACGCCCCCCCATCTGGTCTGCTCCAGCTGTTGGGCACCAATGTGGACAGCCACGACAAAGCGCAACGCCAGGCCTCATCCTCCACCAGCAGTGGGAGCCGCATGTCTTCCTCCTCCCTGCCCACCTCGGGCCCGGCCAGAGTCAAATGGAACCCTCTCCCGTGATAATATCGCCCGAATGCCTCCCCTCGGGCTCCTCCGTGACATTTCGAGACTCGGGGTATTTTTCTCGGAACGGGCACGACGCCAACCTCCCCTCGCCGTCCGAAGTCCTCGCAGCGAGCGCAGCGCAGCATCCGCCATTCGACGACAAATACTCACGGGCCTTGGTGTGGTTTCGAGATCTCGGCCTTCTCGTCAAGTATGGCTGGCCGCCGAAAGTGACCGTCGCCGAGGGTCAGTGCCTGTGGGCCCTTCGTCGAAACGTTCCTCGCGTTCCCGTGCCCGAGATTTATGGCTGGGTCGAGCAAGAAGGCCGTGTCTTTCTCTTTATGGAACTCGTGAATGGTGTCATGTTGGAGGAGCGCTTGTCTTCACTGACCCACGAGGAGCGCAGCGGTATCTGTGAGAGCCTGCGAAGCATGCTCACCGAGCTGCATCGATTGCGCCAAGAGCCTGGGAACGCGTTTGTTGGTATGGCCGCATCGCATACGTTCACGGTGACTCTGCCAACTGATTGCCAGGTGACATCAGCCGTGGTCCGCTAGGAGACATCGTATTCACAAACGGATCTCTACCACGAGGCGGGCCATTCACCTCTGTCAAAGAATTTCACGACTGGCTCTCTGCCATGATCAAATGGGGGAAAGAGCAGCACTGGCCAGGCGTCGATCCCGCCGACATTCCCGACCCGTACCGCCAGAGGCTTCCAGACGAGTCCAGTATTGTGTTTACTCACGCCGATCTACATCCGACCAACATTATGATTTCCCGAGAATCGCCCTGCCAGATCGTTGCGATAGTCGACTGGCAGCAGTCCGGTTGGTATCCCGACTACTGGGAGTTTTGCAAGGCAGAGTTTGCTGTTCACTATTGGTCGGAGTGGGCTCAAGAATACGTCCCGCGGTTTCTGAAGGAGCCGAGTTGTGTGGAAACGTTCCTGGACTACGCCCGAGCGTACGGGTACTGACTGAGAAGCCAGCCCATCCAACCCAGGTATACATGGTGAAGTGAGCTCATAGAACTTAGACTGAACTGCCCAGGTGTTTTACGCACGCAGTTCAGGCCTGGCATAAATTACTGACGGGACTCTCCTGCTCCTCTTCTGCCAGGTGCTGTGCAGTTCGCCGCATCCCTACGACCCAGCCGCCCAAACCAAAAAAGAGTGGCACACACAATGACACCCACCCACGCCCACACCCACACCCTGGCAAGGCGGACCTGGATGGAGTGCGACATTTTCACCGTCGGTGCCAGCCCACCCCAGACATTTGCCAAAAACCGCAAAAAGAAGGGTCTGGCCGGGGATTGAACCCGGGACCTCTCGCAAGCTGTGCTTCAGGGTGTTCCCTAAGCGAGAATCATACCACTAGACCACCAGACCGTTTTTGCTGATCCCGCTTCCTTGGTTGGGAGGCGGGTGGCTGTTGTTCATCACGTGATGATTTGTTGTTGAAGACCGTTGTCCATATTTTGTCTTATGAACCCCCCCAGCCTTCCCTTCCCCTGGCGGCCCCCCCGTATGCACCACGCAGTTAAGTCAGGCACACAGCGCAATGCGAGTCACCGACAGCCGGTGGGAGCAGTTGATGGACGTGGTGTTGCATGGTCGGCGAGGCGTTCCCAACGCAGCGGTACAATGTCTGCACGGAACGACTTGCTGCTACCTCTTTTGTGTGCAATTAGCCGTTGGGCTTGCTCTCATACTTCCCGCTGCACTCAATTGCTCGCACTCTTTGTCCCAACCGCTTCCCTTTGGTGCGCGTGAAACGCGTTTGCATGCGATTGCTGCACCTTACCCTGCACCACCTTGCAGACAGTTCAATCACAGCCTTCGCGCATTCAGTCGAGGAATTGTTGGAGTTTATTACTAGTGTTCGAGTTTATGATTTGGTAGCGTCACTCTGAGCCAGTTTTGACGAGGTTGGCCTCGTTGTGGTGGCGGGCTCGACTTCCATGGTGTGCATTGTATCATTCACATGGAGACATGTAAGAGGTGTGTGACACACCTTCGACCTAACCATCACCATCGACACCCAGTGGCAGGGAACACCCTCAAGTCAAATTACGCAATACGAAGCATCAATTGTCATCGACAAGGCGAACGTCTACGCACGTAAATATCGACGTTGTTGCCGGGAAAGGCCTTGACACGATGCATTGTCCTGCAGCACGAGCCGTGCTATGGCATCCTTGCGCTTGGATCCGTGAAGCAGCCATACGGCCGTCTTCGCAGCCATCTACGAAACGCGCCGCGTCTCCTACCCCCACGGAAGCTGAGGCTTTCCCACGCGCATCGCCGCCGGCTGACCTTGCCCTGGCATTGTGGTACTGTGGGTCCTGCATGTTTTGCGCGACGCGTGAATTCTTCAACACCCCAAGTGGGTTGGCGGGCCACGAATACGATCCTCCATCACAGCCCTTTTATTACCATTGTCTTGGCCAACGCGGTGGGTGTGACCTACTCGCCTCGTTCGTGACGGGACAAAGAAAGGCGAATACCACACGACGATTGGGGTGCTATCCGCGGGCATATCCAAATGCGCTTATATTTGATCAAAATGGGTATAAAGAGACCATCTAGGCGGACCAGACCGGAACGCCGTCTTAAATTACTGTGCCACCAGGACAAAAGCATTCGAGATGCTGCTGGAGCACAAAGAGCGCGACATGCCTGCGGCCACTGTCGTGGCGGATAGTGCAGGAATCCAATCCTGTGCGCCGTCTACCAATATCGTCAGTCTTGGGCCCGTATAGCCATGCGCTCCATTCAACACGTTCTGTGGACCGTGTTCGTCATGAGTTGCCGCGGGCGTGATGAGCCTGCAACGCTCATCAAAATTCGCTGTGGCCTACCAACTGTCGGTGGCAAGGCCGACCGGACGGCAAGCAGAGTGGCCTGCAAGGGCCGGTGTCGTCACAGGTACGATTTCGCCGCGTAGGAGGAAGACACAACTGCCTCCTCTCAGCTAGAAAGCCTCGGTTACGGGCTGAGTAGGTACCGTGCATCCAGGCCAGCTAGTACCTCGCAATACTGAAGCGGCCATTGGATGTACTGTTGGTACTCGCTGGGCAGTGCCCTGGCCAGGTCCTTGGTCCAACCAATAATAACATTCTTCCGTCCGGGCAGCTTTGGGCCGTCCGCCGGGTCGATGCAGAACCGGCCGAGAATGTAGTCGAGCAGGAACATGTGGATGACGAGCAGTTGGCCGGCATGGTTCTCTGGATTGACCAGTGAAAGAAACTCTTGGTTTGAAAAGGATGAGGGCATCATGTACAAGACCACAAACTCTTTCCAGGCTTCATGGGCGTGTTAGTCCGGCTGGCGTCACAGAAGCGTTAGATAATTCACAACGTACCATCAAGAGATGACTGACGGAGGGCGTCAACGCATCGAACCTGGCAGCCTAGGTAGGCCCTCTCGGTCTGTTCACGGCACAGTGGCTCGAGGCTCACGACAGACGCCCTAAAGGCGTCAATGACACCGAAATCCTTGGGCAATGTCTCGCAGACCATGGCCGTGAGCGACTGGATGTGGCCATCCGGAGTGAAGGAGCGAAATATGGAGTTGGAATAGTCGGTGATGACGGAGGTGGCGACGAGATTGGCGCCTCGGGTCATGGTCATGTACTCGACCATCGTGTCAGAGAGCAGGGATGACTGTGTGAGGAGGCAGACGACGGTGGCAAAGAGAGCGTCCGCGTCGGCGGCCGACTGGGGCGGCTGGCCGAGCCGCTCGTTGAAGAGCTTGATGGCGACCACGCGGTGCTGCAGGGCCTCGGAGGTGTAGTCAACGTTGCCGTTCTGCGAGAGGTGGGAGGCGCCGAGTCCGAGCAGGGCGTGAGCGAGGTGTTCGTACTGGCAAAGTCAGTCCTCCTGCGATATGATGAGGGGTGTAAGTCAACGCTCACCTGGTGGGACATGGCGGCGGCCTCGGACCAGACCTGAGCGCCGCGAAGTGGAAGCGTGGGAAAGGCCGTGGTCAGGAACTGGTGGTAGAATCGCAGATCTTGAAGGACAAGCATCGAAGGATTGGCACGGATGGCGGCGGCGGCGACACCAACAGAGCTAGAAGCAGACGGGGAGGCATTGCTGGCAGCCGGGGGATAGACGCAGGTGAGGCCCAGGCGGCGACAGGGAGAGCACTCGGGGCGCAGCTCGTTGCACTTGACGCGACGGCGCTTGCAGCTGAAGCAGCCGAGGCGCGATTTGAAGTGGCCGCGACGGCTCAATGGCTGGCGGGCGGCGGCCGAGGCATTGGCAGCGCTGGAAGCGTTGGCGGCAGACAACACGGCCTTGCCCGCCGTCACGGCGGAGGAGGGCGCTGGGGATGAAGTCGAGGGCGGTGGCGACGGGGAGCAGCCATCGTGAGTCGAGGCACCGCACGAGGAGGACGACGAAGAGGACGCCGACGCGGATGAGTGGCTCGACTCGGGACTAAGACTCGCTTTAGGGCCCATTGCGACCGTCCAAGGCCCTCAGGATGTCGTGCCGGCCTCGCGACGAGGCGACGGTCGGCCCCAATGCCGGCGGTGGTGACGACGAGGCGCGCGTCCAATGACGCCGTGGAGGACGGGAAGCTGCAGCAGCCGCCTACCGTCTCTTGGCCAGCGCCACCACCACCGCAGCCGCTGGGCTGGGCGAGGGGGCGGAAACGCCTCGAGGCCGGAGGTGCACGATCGCGGCGAGACGATGCGACAGCCTCTGCGGTAGTTGGAGGAGTTTCGACGTTCGTTGGGCGCCCTCACTCACTGGCGGTCGCACCCACTCGCGCTGGGCCTGGCCTGGCCAGACCGGGCCGGCTCGATCGATCGGGTCGCTCCCGTGCAGCCAAGGCCGGGCAAGCAAGGCAGGCAGGCCGGCGCCCAAGTCCGTGGAGCTTGGAGCGGCAGTCCGCGGAGGCTGGGGTTCGGGACGGCCTGCGATTGTCGCGCGGTGATGATCGCCTATGGTGTGCAGTGAGTGTTATAGTGCATGCAATGGAAGCCGGTGCTGGAATTGACTGATGGAAGGCCGGGCTGGGCGACTCCGCATTTTTCTGACAGCCCGGGCAGCTTCTGCAGTCCCTGGTTTGGTCCCTTGTTGGTCCCTTCCCGTTCTGTCGGGATGGCTCTTGCCTCGCTCTGGCCGTCGACCCTGAAGGCTGAACCCCTCATCATCGGCAAACGGCAGGGCCCCTCCCCCCTCTCCTTCCTCCCACTTCTGCCGCTGGTTCTCCCGCTGGCCATCCCAGGCTTGGTGCTCGCACTGGCGCTTACTGTACGTACCTGCGGCCTCAACACCAGACTGCTCAGTGCTGACAGCCAGCGCGCGTGCACGGTCACGTGGGGCAAGTTTCTTCAACTCGAAGCCTCTCATTGGGATTCGGGGACAGCTAACAAGATCAGCTACTCCTGAATGGGCATGGCACCAGCACATCTCGTGTCATTCTTCGTCCCCAGTCCACTTGACGATCCGCGGCGATAGGTAAACAGCACGTTCTCAGCTTGGCGGTGCCAGAGGAGCCCCTCCAGCTCACACGAATCAGCCTCGAGCGAGCGGGCAGGCAGGTGGGCGCGTCAATTGCCTGTCAAGACACTGACCTCTGGCACGATGACGGCACCACGCTCCTTTCCAGGATGCCAAACGCAGCTTCGTCCTTGGAAACACTTGACAGTGGGCCTCCCATGCGTCTCATGGGCTCTCATAGCACGTATCGAAACATTGTCTGCTCACGTTGTTAGCAACGCCCACACACATCACCGTGGCCACGGCTGGCACTCACGTTCTTCTTGTCCGTCACGTCCTCGAAGCCTCGAAGCTCGCTCTCGCGCTTGAGCGCCTCAATCGTCTCGTCGGGCAGCCCCGCGAGGCCCGCGTCCCGTCGCCTGTTCTCCCGCACGTACAGCAGCCGGAGGGCCTGGTTCAGCAGCAGGTTGATGCAGAAGGCGCACAGCATCGCCACGATGCCGCTCCTGTACTCGGGCGCCTCCTTGCTCTTGAAGAACTGCGGCCCCGAGATTTGCCCGACGCAGTAGCACACAAACACCCACCCGCTGGCCACGGACCGCTTCGTGCTGCCCGCAATGTTGCTGGAGAGCAGTCCCAGGATGACGAGGAACCCGACCGGGTAGCTGCCCAGTAACCAAACCCCGACCAGCCGGCCCCATTTGTTGTCAATGGCGAGCTTGTTGATGAGGCACGCGCCGATGATCTACCCTGTTAGCGCTTCGCGTTGGCTGAGAGTCAAGGCAGCCTCACCGGAGGAAGCATCGCAACGCTGGCCACGTGCAGCCGCGAGCTGCGAATCTTGCTCGACAGCACGCCGGATCCCAGCTGAGCGACAGTCTGCACGACAGACAGAGGCAGCTGCATCAGGATCGTGTTGAGGGGACTGAAGCCGAAGCCCTGCACGATGAGCGGCCCGAACGCCAGACCGCCGCTGCCGATGGCGTTGACAAACGAGATGAGGCCGAGCACGATGACTGCTGGATCCGTGGCAGCCTCCTTGATTTGGCTTGCGTCGAACCGTCTGCTGCGACCCGTTCCCGTCTTGTTCGCCGCCACCCGCTGCACGGCGACGATCTTATCCTCGTCCTTGAGCCAGCTGGCCCGTGCCGGGCCGTCGGGCACGAAAATCACAAAGGCTATGCCCCATACAACCGTGACAGCGCCCAGGATGAGGAAGATGTACTGCCACGGCGCCAGCTTCCCGCCAATATGCCCGATGCCGTACGCGAGGAGGCCACCGATGCAGCCCCCAACGCCCAAGAAGGAGATCCACAGCGCCGAGCGGCCGGCCTGTTCCTGGCGGGACCACCAAATGCCCGTCACGGCGACGAAACCTGGCGAGATGGTGGCCTCTGTCATACCCAGGATGAAGCGCACCGAGGCGAGCCCGGCGAAGCTCGAGCAGGCGGCCGTGCTCATCAGCACGCCGCCCCAGAGCACAATGTTGGCACCGAGGAACTTGGCGACTGAGACACGCTGCAGAAGTGCCACGCCGGGGTACTCGGCCAGGAGGTAACCAAAGTAGAAGATGCTGCTTGCCCAGCTGTACTGCTGGCCCTGGAGATTGGTGTCGCGGATGATGTTGTAGACTGACGAGTAGGCCAGCGACGTCTTGTCGATGAACTGCAGGGCGTAGGTGACGCATAGGAATGGGAGGATGTGAGCGTCGATTTTGCGTAGGACGCGTTTGCTCGCGGCGGCGTCTGGCTCGCCGGCCGCGATGGCCTGGACGGCAAGGTCGCCGGCCTCGTCCGTGATGCGCGCCGCACTCTTTTCGTCATGTTCGGTGTGGCTCGCCTGTCGAGACACGGACAGCTCGATGGCGTCTCCAGCGCCTGCGGACGGAGCCTGCGGAGCCATTGCTTCTTGCCGAGCATGCATGCGTTGAAACTGCACGGGCACGTCAGCTCAAGTTTTATATCTACAGGGTCTGTCACAGGACGTCGAAGCGACGTCTCGCCCTCCGCACTTCAGATAGCACATCGTCTCCTCCCCGACCAACAGATAGCGCCTCGGACGTTACTGGCCGGGTACGTGGAGTTGCCTGCCGGTGTCGGCCGTAGCCTCGTCAAGGAGACGATATCGCACCGTCGGGGAACTTGTCCACGACGGCGCACAGGACCCTGGACACATGCCCGCGCTTGTGCCAGCAAGCGACGGCGCTGCCCGCTTGATGGTGGATCTCGAAGATGGAGCTTGGGTTCCCCATTGGCAGCCCCCCGCATTCGGAATTCCGCGTGGCATGGCGAACCGGTGGCGCCCGGGTATTGTAGCCAGGCTTCATATCAACTTTACTGGTCTCAATCGCATTGGGGGAAGCGATTCTTATCTTGTATCTCGAGAGACGACGGAGTCTTTGAACGGCCGGGTTGAGTTTGGGCAAGTATCAGGAGGCACATTTTCGCGACGCAATGAACCAGCCCAGCGAATTCCGTCTCAGTGAGCGAGGGGCCGTGACCCTCAACTATGGTGGCTCCAGCGCCGGCAGGCCGGCTTTCCTCGACGATATCAGCGCGGCCGTCGACGACCTCGCTGCTTCCTTTTGGCCGATCAACAAGACGATCCACGACAATCCTGAGCTGGCGTACGAGGAGCACCACGCTCACCATGTGCTTACGCGCTTCATGGCTGCCCAGGATGGCTGGTGCGTGACCAGGTCTGCGTACGGCATCGACACGGCATGGGTGGCCGTCTACGATTCAGGGAGACGAGGGCCGGTCGTGTCCTTCAACGCTGAGATGGGTGAGGCGCTTGAGCAGTTCGGCAGTCAAGACGACGATGGCTGACGGAGTTTGCAGACGCTCTGGAGGGCATCGGTCACGCCTGCGGACACAACCTGATTGCAAGCGCGTCCGTCCTCGGTGCCGTGGCGACGGCGACTGTCATGAAGAAGCATAATCTCTGCGGCAAGGTCGTCCTCTTTGGCACACCCGCAGAGGAGGGTACTGTCCCCCCACATCCCGACGAGATTTCCGAGTACTGGATCTGACATCTCATGCAGGTGGCGGCGGCAAGATCCGACTACTCAAGGCTGGCGCTTACTCCTCGCAAGGCGTCGACGTGAGCCTCATCTCACACCCGGGGATCATTGCCGACGCGGCGCGGATGTACACCACGGCGCTCTCCAACTTCCAGGCCGAGTACTTTGGCCGCGAGGCGCACGCCGCGGCGAACCCCTGGCTGGGCATCAATGCGCTCGATGGGCTCGTCACCGCGTACTCAAGCTTGTCGATGCTGCGCCAGCAGTGCATGCCAGGCGACATCATCCAGGGCCACATCACAGACGGCGGGCTGCGGCCCAACATCATCCACGCGTATGCGGCGGGCCGCTTCGTCATTCGCGCCGACTCGCAAGCCCGGCTGGAGCAGCTACGTCGCAAGGTCTACGCCTGCTTTGAAGCCGGAGCCACCGCGTCGGGCGCGAAGCTGAAGATTACCGAGGGAGAGGCGTACAAGGACCATGTCGCCAACGGGCCTATGGCGCGGAGCTACACGCGGTACTTTAACGCGCTGGGCCCGCAGTATCCCATCTCGGAGAACGTCGAGGAGGACGTGCGACGGGGGCGGACGCAGGCGAGCACCGACCAAGGCGACATGAGCTATGCAATGCCGAGCTTAAGCCCAGCATTTGCCATAACTCCTGGAAAGGGCGGCCAAGGCCCGCACAATCCCGAGTTTGCGTCGGCGGCGGGCACGCGCGATGCGTATGCCCGAGCGGCCATGGTGGGCAAGGGCCTCGCGGGAGTGGCGGTAGATTTGCTGACGGTGGAGGGATTCCTCGACGAGGTGAAGAGGAGCTGGAAAGAGGACATGGAGAGGGGTGCTGCTGTGCGTGATGAGTGTTGATGCGTAGTCAAGGCAACAACCTGGAGATAGCGATGTATGCGAGAATAATGATGTTTGTAAAGGAAGACAACATGAATGTATATTCACTTTTGCGCGCGCTGTATATGAAGCCGGCTGCGGACAGTCTATGCCCGCAGACGGCATGTCCCCGAGATGCCAACAAAACGCTGCCTGGCTCTGCTCTCGCTCCATCTCGTCTCTATTCTTTTTTAAAAGAAGCGCCAGATCGAGTCTGCCGACTTGGTGCTCTTGAACCTACTATACGCCCTGCACACCGGCCACAGCATCAGCATGGCCGCCGCCCAGACAGCGAAGTACGCCCACAGGTTATCGATGCCCCTGCTGTTGTCCGGGTCCATGGGGTCCGCGACGCCCGTGTCGTGGCCGAACAGCGCCACGAGGGCCATGCCGAGCGCAAAGATGACGAGCATGTGCGCGACGTAGAAGAAGAGCGCCGTGGTGCCAAAGTCGAGCAGCATGGTGAGCCTCCGCCGAGCGAAGCGCACGGGCAGCGCGCCGAAGAGTGCCAGCAGGGCGAGGTTGCCGGCCATGGTGAGGGCCCAGAAGGCGACGTCGGGCGGGTACTTGACGATGTAGAAGAAGGAGGGAACGTCGGCGAGGTACGGGTTTTGACCCCGCTGCTGGTGTTGCTGGGCGGGGGTCTGGAGGCAGCCCTCGGAGAGGTTGCCGATGTGGAGGAGGCGCGTGAGGACGAAGACGAGGGCGAAGAGGAGCGACACGAGGGCGTGGCCAGCGAAGAGGGCGCGCGGAGGGCGGGACGGCTGGGCGACGAGGATGCGTCCGTAGAGGAGGCCGAGGATGGCGAAGGAGAGCCAGGCGAGGGGCGGGAAGCCGGACATGACGCGGCCGGACATGTCCATGACGGGCCAGAACCAGATGCGCAGGAGGGGGTTTTGCGGTGCAGTTGTCGTCGTCGTGGCGGACGATGGCGTGGAGGTGAATGGCGGTGATGATGATGTGAACATGAAGGGGGCGGAGGACTCGGCCTGGCAGTGGCCGTTGTTCTCGGAGAGCCAGATGTTCCACCAGATGGTGATGAGGCTGAGGATCAGGAGGACTGCGTTGTGGATGTGCCATGAGATGGACGCGGCCCGCGCAGTCCTCGAGTCAAGAGCCTCTCCTGACGCTGCCACCGTCGTCTCGCCAGTGAGCAACGGCCTCCGCTCGCCCTCATCATCATCAGCTTCTCCCGCCCTGCTCTTCATCCATCCCGCCAAAACACCCGTCACCAACCCCTCCGTCCAATCCATCGCCAACCACAACAATCCCGCCAGGAGATAATCCACCGCCAGCGCAAACAGCACCATATTCAAGAACCACACCCTGCCCCCCGTGACCACCAGCCCAAACACGACCGTCACGCCCGTCAGCACCGCCGTCCTCACAGCCAGGTACCGCGCGAGCCTGCCCGCGCTCCAGCCGAGCTTCCCGCGCCGCGACCTACCCAGGTATACGACGCCCATGCCGAGCAGGAACGTGAACCCAGGGGCGCACAGGTGCGTGAGCGTGCGCACGGCGTAGGCGACGGGGAAGTTGAAGCGCCGGACGGGGAAGCCGTCGGACTCGGAGGCGCGGCCCGTGCCGTGCGTCCAGGTGTGCAGGGCGATGGCGTTGTGGTCGAGCGCCATGACGATCATGAGCAGGCCGCGGAGGAGGTCGGGGGCGAGGGCGCGCGTGGATGTCACGGAGGAGGAGCCTGCGCCCGCGGCCTTGTGCGGTGTGGTGCCGCTGTTGTGTGACACGGATGGGGCGGCGCCATTGTGGTGGTGATGCGATTCGGTGTCGGTGGTGCGGCGGCGGCGGTTGTTGTATGACGGGAAGGAGTCGTAGCGGTAGCCGTTTTCTGTCGGCTCGGCCTGCATGTCTGAGTCTTGCTGTTGCGCCGCATCGTCGTCGTTGGGATCGCCGTTGACCACCACGCCGTTGCTGCTGTCTCGGATGGTCGGCCTGCCCCCGCGATCTTCCGGCCCTGCGGCCCCGTCTGCCGGGCCGCTCGGTGCTGCCATGTTCCTCTCCTCTGCCAGTTTCCCAGGTAAAGGAATAAAGACCGGCAAGATCCGCAGAAGACGGTCGGAGCGAGGGTTGGAGGGAGGTTCTCAACGGCGCATCATGGCCGTTGCGGAAACGGCGGAAGAGAGAGCGAGGGAGAAGCACTAATAAATGAAACTTGAAGGGAAATACTGGAACGAGTCAGGGCGACGGGCCGATGCGAAGGCCGCCAGCCCTGCCACGCCGATGGATGGATGGATGGATGGATGACGCGCGCGCGCTGGCAATAGCGGCATAGCGCATTGGTAATCGTGCTGACCCGCCTGTCTGCGAGTCTGCCAGACGCAGGGACAAGGAGCTTGCGAGTGGGTGGGTGTGCCGCGCGCCAAAACAATGCCATAGCTATACTGCAAAGCATCTGACATTGCGGGCTCCGGCGGAGTTTCAAGTTCCCCCAGTACCCCTGATATGCCTGGCGGTATTGTCCAGACCCTATAGCATCTTCATTGTCTCAATGATTGCACTCTCCATTTCCGAGGTCTTGCTTCCATCCGTCTTCTGGTCCCATCTGACAGGCGAGCAAACGGAGTGTTGGACGGCTTGAGCGCCGCGATATGTGTGGACCGATGGGCCGCAGTTCACCAACACGGAGCGGGCGGACTTGTGCATTGTGATGGCGCGCCGCCGCCCCGCACCCTCCCTGTCCAACTCCGCAGGCAGGGCACTGCCCGACCGGCCGAGCCGGGCCCTGTGCCAGCTGCCAGAGGGGGGTGTTAACCCTGGAGTGGACATGACTGGGTACCCTCCTCAGCGAGCTCAACAGTCGGCATGCTGAAGCATGTCATGACTCTCTATCGCCATTTGATGTTGCCACGTCCATGTATCGATATAGAGTATGACCGCAGTGGATGTATAACTACTCGGTGACATGACTTGCGATCAGATGCTCCTGCGTTCATCCTCACGTTGTGGAGGCTCAATGACAAGCAAGCTGGCCCTCTACACCAGCCGAAATGGGCAGGGTACCGAACCCTCGACCCTCGAGGGCAACGCCACCGCACAGTGCTCCATGGTTTCCGTAGCCGTTGCGGTGCCACTGACGGCGATGGGTAGGCCAACGCGCTGCGTGAGCGCTTCACACGTGTAGGAGCTCCAATTCCACATGCAGCCAGGCACGCAGATTCCCCAGCTTTCCTCCCTACGCCACGACTCCACACCGATCGTGTGGGCGCCCAGATGACGCACACCAGGCACCTGGGGTCATATAACCGGGCTATATGCAGCGGCGCGGGTGGGTGGCTGGACTGTGGGGGTTGGGTGACGGTGCTGCCGCTGCCTCGGCTTACAGCCTACTGCACTGCGCTGCACCGCACTGCGGCATGAGCTCCGTTGCATCTCAGCACATATTTGTATTGAGATGTAACACAGGTGCCGGTAGCGGTCGCGTGCTCAGTGTATTAATCGCGGCTCTGAGCGCGACTGGCCATTCATTCATTCATTCATCCACCTCAACTCGAAGTCACCAATCGATATTAGACTCTTTTGTCAGGTCACGACGGCGCACGCCACCGCCAGCATTGAGCGCGCAGACGAGGCCGAAGTTGCAGCTTCAGACGCAGCGAAACTGAGGGGCAGCAATGCTGTCTCGCACCGCAGCACGCCCGCTGCGGCAGGCATGCCTTTGCAGAGCGTTCTCGACATCCAGTCCGCGGCACGGCGGGTACGAGAGCACGATAGACAACTTGCGCATTGACGGCAATTCGCGCGTCATCTATCAAGGTATGAGAGGCCATGCCTTTAACTGCTTGTCACCCGCGACTCCTGAACCTCATGCTAATATCTGACGCAGGCTTCACCGGCCAAGCTGTACGGCCCTCAAGTCTGAACTTCATCTGTACCATCTGACACCAGACCACCAGGCCACGTCAAATGCCAAGGACACAATCGGATACGGCACCAAGGTCGTGGGCGGCGTCTCCCCCGGCAAAGGCGGCCAGACGCACCTCGACCTCCCCGTCTTTGGCACCGTCCGCGAGGTACGCCTCTCCCCCTTCACCCTCCCCCCTCCTCCATCCTACAGAGTCGTGACAAAAGCATGATCCGAGGCTAAGTGCGTCGTCCCGTCTCCAGGCCATGGAAACGGTCAAGCCGCACGTCAGCGCCGTCTTCGTGCCGGCGCAGTTCGCGGCCAAGGCCATCGTCGAGGCCATCGAGGCCGAGGTACCGCTCGTCGTGTCCGTGGCCGAGCACATCCCCGTGCACGACCTGCTGCGCGTGCAGGAGGTGCTGCGGACGCAGAGCCGCAGCCGCCTCGTCGGGCCCAACTGCCCGGGCGTCATCTCGCCGGACCGCTGCCGCGTCGGCATCATGCCCTACCGCCAGTACCGCCGCGGGCGCGTCGGCATCGTCAGCAAGTCGGGCACCCTGAGCTACGAGTCGGTGGGCGCGACGAGCGCGGCGGGGCTGGGGCAGAGCCTGGTGATAGCCGTGGGCGGCGACTCGATGCCGGGCACGACCATTGCAGACTCGCTCGAGGTGCTCCTCACCGACCCCGAGACCGACGGCATCATCATCATCGGCGAGATTGGCGGCGAGCAGGAGCTGCACGCTGCCGAGATGCTCGCGCGGCACCGCCGGTCGACGCCGAACCCCAAGCCCGTCATCGCCATGGTGGCGGGCCAAACGGCGCCGATGGGCAAGATCATGGGCCACGCGGGGGCGGTGCTGTCGCCGAGGGACGCGACGGCGGCGGAGAAGGCGGCCGCGCTGGAGAGGGCGGGCGCCGTGATTGTGCCGCACCCGGGCGTCATGGGTGTGACGATGAAGGAGCTGCTGGGCGTCAAGGAGTGATGGTGATGCATGGATAGATGGACTAGATGGACTAGATGCACCTAGAGAAGAGGCAGGTATACACTGCGTTTACGGCCGTGCTGGCTTGGCGGATGCATGGTACTGCATGTGTGTACATGTTCTTCCTTGCAACTCGGCGACAACGTTCAGTGTTGAAGATGAGCACCCTGGAGACTTGGGTTGACGCCGACCCTCATGGGACTATGGATGGCGCAGCAAGACAGTTGAACTATTATCGTGATCATTTCGAACCACGACAAAGGTGAGCTGTGTCTCGTATTTATCTCCGTGAGCAACACGAAGGCTGTGGGACAGCAACGCAAAGCGCGGGTGGCTCTCATGGACCAGCGATATGGCACCTGGTGATTGCTTCAGTCTTACATGCACGTGAGCAGAGGCAATCCCGACTCAGATTCATATCATCTCAATCAAGCAAATTCGCAAACAATGAACAAGGAACGGGCCCGGCCTGCATGTGGAGTGTACATGTAGACATCCGAAGCACTGATTAATCTCAGCGAGTATCCCTTCCACTATGTGCCTTTTCCGCGCCGATGTTCGCTGGTGATGAACTGCCAAGCCAGTTCTTCTTATCTCCTGGTTCCGGGTCCCGAGTTCTGGCGCACCCTAGCCGCCACCACATTCGTCTCAGCCCACAATCCAAGTTATCTAGCAAAGCCGTCCATGAATCATGAGCGCTAGAACGGCCCGCCCGCCAGGCCATCTTGGGGTCGAATCGCAACATTCGCCGCGCCAAAGGGCGTGCGACCCCGCATTGCACCGAGCGCGGACGACCGGCCGCTCCCCCAGGACCCCAGGTTTGCCGAAACCCCTGCTGCAGATTGTTGGTTGGAGATGCGGGTGCCACCTGGTTGATGCTCGGTAGGAACCGACATTGTTGTGTCCAGACTCCAGAGCATTGACACACAACTGCTGCGCTCCCGCCATGTTGGAGCTTGAGCCCAAGAGCTGTCTGGTCTGTCGCAAACGTAAGGTGCGCAAACCAATAATCTTGCTTCGTGTTGGGGTCATCGGTGAATGCCCACCTTGCTGACACTTGCTGCTCTCGCAGGTCAAATGCGACCGCACGCCGGGCTCGTGCCGCAAATGCGACAAGTTCGGAGCAGAATGCGCCTACACAGCCGCCGAGCCCAGGACACGCAGCGCGACGTCGCCAGCTTCACGATCACCCGGCAATGGCATCGATAACGGCATCACCAAGGCCGGTCTCGCGCGGCGCCGCACCCCCCGGTCCTGTGTCGAGTGCCAGCGCACCAAGGCCAAGTGCTCCGGCGAGATCCTCTGCGGTAGATGCGACAGAAAGGGTCTGCCGTGCCTCTATCGTGACGCGGGGGGCGACAATGCACGCGCCCCGACACCTCGCTCCCTGATCGATGCCTCGATGCCGGCGTGGCTGCTGTCGCGCATCTTGCCGCCGGTCCATCGCGTGCGCGAGCTGCTGGACATGTACTTTGCTCGCGTGCACACCGTGCGGTGCCTGGGGTTCCTTCACGTCCCGACTTTCATGGAGCGCTTCCAAGACGATGGCGAAGCCTATGAAGACCCGTCGGGACTCGTCCACATCATGTGCGCGCTCGCCGCGCCGTTCTACTACGCCCACGCCGCCTCCTCTTCGTCGTCGTCCTCATCCTCCTCGGAAGATGGCCTCCAGCCGAGCACGCGCTTCCACGAAGCGGGACGCGGCTGGGCAGCGACCGCCATGGAGCGCATGTTTGCCAACTTTGGCAGCCCCGCGGTCGAGTGCCTCATGGCCGCCGTGCTGCTGCACGAGCAGCACCTGCGCGTCGGCGACCACGCCAAGGCGTTCCTCGTGTCGGGCATCGTCGCGCGGCACGTCCAGATCCTGCAGCTCAACGTGGAGCACGACGGCGACGTGCTGTGCGAGCGGCCCGGCGCCATCCCCTGGGCCGTCAAGGAGAGCCGCCGGCGGCTGTTCTGGGCGTGCTACCTGCAGGACGCCTTCATCGAATGCGGCATTGACCAGCTGCGCTTCATATCCGCCGACGACGTGCAGATCCAGCTGCCGTGTCTGGAGGACTATTTCATCAGGAACAGGCCGTGTGTCACGGAGATGTTGCGCCAGGGCACGGTTCTGCCGTTTGTGGAGGGGGACTCGCGGGGGCGGGATGGCGCAAACCTCGACTTGAGGTCGTTTTACATCCGCGCAATGGTAACTCGTTCGCGCGTCCTCAAGTATGTCAAGCACCTGGAGGGCGATGTCCCCTGGAGCGCCACGCAGGACTCGCGCTTCCAGCAGCTGGACGGAGAGCTCGTGGCGATTGAGAACTCCATACCCGATGTTCTGAGGATGACGCCCGAGAACGTCTACCTATACAAGGCCTCGGGTCGCCTCAACGTATATTTTGGTCTGCACATCCTTCTCGCGCAGACGTTCAACGATCTCTACCGCGTCGGCGTATCCGGCCTCGTCTTCCCCTTCTCCGCGACGAAATGGATACGAGACAACGCGCCGTCAGACTTCATTACGCGCTGCCACCGGGTCTGCGCCAGCAAAGCCGCCTACATCGCCACCCTGCTAGACGACCTATACAAGTGCCACAAGGAAAGCATGGTGGACATCCCGTACGCCATGCACGCGCAGGTATGCAGCGGCGTGCTGGTCACGACTCTCGCCTCGTGGACGGGACGAGACGCCCTGCTACCGGGCGTCGGGCTCGACGACTACGCCCGCATGCTGGAGAGCAACGTGCGCGTGCTGCAGCACCTGCGGCGCTACATGAAGGTGGACCTCTTCCTCGAGTCGGCGACGCAGGCGCTCAAGCGCTTCGACAGTATGAGGATGAGGGAGCAGCGCAGGAGCGGACCGGTAGGCGAAGACGGCGAGCTGAACACCGACGCGGGCGAGAACGTGAACCCGCGGCAGTTTTCGCTCGACTACATCTTGAACCCGCTGGGCGTGTATCCCATTGCGCGGACGCAGGCCAGCGATCGGCACAAGCCGGAGGAGTTTGCTGCCGCTGCCGCTGCCGCGACGGCTGCGCGACCGTTGACGCCGAGCACCACGGCGTCTACTAGGGGGCAGAGCGCCGACGAGTTGATGGCACTGGAGGACCCGTTCCCAGGTAGCGGCGCGTGGGACTGGTCGCAGATGCCCTTTTTGGAGAGCATGGGGTACCCGACGTTTCTTGAGAACGAGGCTCTGGTGCATGGCGCGTTGGACAGCGGAGACGCCTCTGATGTGATGCAGTTGTAGCTCAAGCCCCGCTGGCGTGTCCAACAAGATGGGATGTCCCTGGTAAATAGCTGAGGTCATTGGCTCCCATAATGCGTGGCCTTTCTTCAGTAGAGCTATAATCTCTGCACGCCAAATCATCTCCGTTGGACTCTCGCAGTCAATGTTGGCGGTGAAGCCAAGACTCACGAGCTATGGAGCGCGCAGCACCGTTGGCCATCTCGTCACCAGGGTGTCTGCTCACAATGCGATCCAAATCGTCACAGCCAGATAGGCTTCACTAGCCTCAACTCCATGCCTTGTCGCGCGACAGCACAGGTGAACGGAGTCCCCGCGTGGAGGCAGCGCCAGCTCGCTGACCTCTGGCCCGACTAGCCGAGATCGATGGCCTCCCTCCCTCCCCTCCGTCCAGTCTGGGCTCTTCACCCTCTAACTGGGCGCCCACGCCGTAGCGGAATACAAATCAGCGGGCAACAAAAGTGATTGGGTTTCCATATCGGGGTGCGGTGGCGTCTGGGAGGCTGAGGGCGGCGGCTGTCCGGAATACAGTCAGCTTTCTGCCCCGGAAGTGCCGTCGTCCGGGCTTAGGGCCGTGGGCTAAACCTTCTATGACGACGACGAGAACGCTGCTATTTTGGGGGAGTGGGCGGGCCCTTAGTATTGTGGAAAGGCGCCGGGGGGACTGGAGTAAAATCGTCAACGTCAGCGCGAGCAACGGCATGGTAATTCCCGAGGACAGCGATGGCCGAATTGCAACGTGAACGATGATGGGTGCTTGGATATCGGCAGTTCAGTCTCCCGCTGCTTGGGGTTGAGTCGAGTACAAAAGCCATCACAGCGCACCCTTCTACCTTCAATGTTCTGCCAGACCAGACCAAAAGCCTAATAAACAAAATAACTCAAAACCCATTCATCAAAGGACATTGAAACAAAGCCTCTCGAAACATTCCCACACAAGTCCATTGTGGCAATGAAGGCCCACTTGTTCCACCTCTCTCCCCTGCTGGGCGTCGCCCTCGGCGCGGCGATCCCAAACAACGACGGCTTCCCGGCCCCCAACGACCAGCAGAAGCTCGGCATCGCGGTGCAGGCCGGTGGGCTGCTGCCCAACACCCCGCCGCCGACCTCCCTCGGCGCCGGCAGCGCCACCGCGTTCCAGCTCATCGCCTTCAACGAGCTGTTCGAGACGGCCTACTTTGGCTCGCTCGTGCAGAATATTTCCGCCGGCGTGGAGGGCTACCAGGCTGAGAACAAGGACGAGCTGGTCAAGATCTTTTCAACGGTCCTGGCTGTAAGCGAGCATCCTGCCACTTATAGCTGTCACTTGAGGATCACGAATGCTGACATGGGTTTGACTTTAGCAAGAAGAACAGCATGCGTTGGCGGCAGTCTCGACGCTTCAGGGCGCGGGTGTATTCGCCCCGTCAGCCTGCCAGTACCAGTTCCCCGTGTCGAACCTCAAGGACGCCGTCAACCTCGCCGAGACCTTCACCGCCGTGGTCCTCGGCGCGCTGCAGGGCGCAAACGTCCTCTTCGCCAAGGACGGCGCCCCAGGTCTCATCCAGACCGTCTCGTCCGTCATCGGCCAGGAGGGCGAGCAAAACGGCTACTACCGCGTCTTCCTCGACAAGGTGCCGTCCGAGTCGCCCTTCCTGACCGCGGTACCCGCGCCCTTTGCGTGGTCCGCGCTGCAGATGTTTGTAGTGCCCGGCTCGTGCCCCTTCCCGCTCAGCAACATCAACCTGCCCATCTTCCCGCCCCTGATGACCAACGGCGGTGCCGTCGCGGCGATTGAGCCGCAGGACCAGGACCTTTCATTTGCGGCTGATTTGTCGAGCTCGGATGCCGCCAAGCAATACGTCGGAGGCGACGGCAGCAACCTGTACCTGACTTACACGACGGGGCAGCAGCTACCCATCTCTGTCCCACTCAAGAATGTGCAGTGGAGTGGAAATCACATTAGCTTCTCCGCCGAGTTCCCTTTCTCGAAGAACGTCATGCAGGGCTTCAGCCACGCGGCGCTCACGACCAAGAACAGCTTCGAGAGTGCCGACGCGGTCGTCGAGGCTGCGCTGGCGGGACCCGGTGTCATTCAGGTAAACAATGCTCTGTGAAGGGGATAGTATGGTCGATCAAACGACTGGGGATAATGGGCGATGTAGAACTGGCTTGTGTGGGCAATTTTGTTCGTCTTGCACTGAAAAGTGAAGTACTACCATGTTGATGCATCGGGAAGGAATCATTAGACTGTACATTTACAATTAATTCGAATCATGAACACATTGAGATATCCATGCCCAAGATTGGGCCATGCACATGATGCTATGAGGGACCAAAAGATCGCTTCCTCCACACGATTCGTCGTGGTGGACGTCAGGTTAACCTGTCGCAACAGATAACACCGTGCCGCCTCTACCTTGATCTATGTTGCCGGTTTACCGATCGCACGCGGAAGCACGAGTCAGCTTCACCGCGGAGTCCGTTTATCGATGGTTCCATTGCAGAGATGCCGCGCGCTCATCAAGTCCAGCCACGCGCCAGAACGGGTCCAAAGCTCGTCATCGCCAAATCACCAGCACCAGTAGCCGACTAGCCTGGAAGCAGACATCTCGGCACCGAGATCCGTCGCGCACCGGATCTCGCCCTCGCTACTCATCATCTTTCAGGTGCAGTGCCGTCCGACTTACAGACATGCCATTGATGATCAACATGAGGGGTTGCTACATGTAGTCAACGCCATGAATCCGTTTAAGTAGGATGGGTTTGGAATAGCTTGCTCACACGAGCTCCTCCACATTGTGCTTCAACACTAGTATTCCATCGTATCAAAGTCATTTACTTTACCAGAATGTTGGCCCAACTCTCCGCCATTGCCGCGCTCCTCAGCACGGCTCAAGCCGCTGCCGCAAACTTCCGCGTCTTTGACAGCACCGCGTACACAAACACCTCCGTCGGCTATGGATCCTCCAACATCAACTGGATCCCCAACTACGTCTGCAGCCCCTTGGTGCAAGGCGGCGCGCTCCCCTCGGCGGCGCAGTGGCAGGCCATTGTCCTCGACTGGAACGTCTACCCAGGCTACCCTCTGGTGCTCGACTGCGAAAACATCTACCTCACGTCTGCGTCCACAGCAGACCACAACCTCGAGGTCATGAAGACGCTCCAGACGTGGGCAGCCGACGTGCTTCCTGAGGGCCAGATTATCGGCTGGTACGGCCTCTCGGGGAACACGGCAGCGTCGCTGTACGGACACTACAGGAGCCTCATTGCGAATCACAGCGCCCACGCCTTCTTCCCCTCGGCATACACCTTTTCCAGCAGCCTGAGTACCTGGAACACGTCGCTCAACACCGTCATTGGCAAGATCAAGGCCATTGACACTTCGGTCCCCGTGTGGCCGTTCATGTGGCCGCAGTACCACAACAGCCCCTACGACTTTTACTCTGTTGATCTCTGGCAGAGCCAGCTGCAGGCGTTGACAGCAAACAAGGACGTGAATGGTTTCGTCATCTGGGGAGGCAAGAACCACCAGGTTTGCGGCGACGCGTGCCAGGCAATTGCAGGCAAGCAGCCATGGTTGAGCGCGGCGAGGTCATATCTCAAAGCACTGTATGGAGTGTACGGCGGACAGCCACAGCGAAGCGGAGGACAGATCTTTACCGGAGCATGAGTAAATGACCGCTTTGGGGGGGCTCGCGCCTAGTGCGCTGCGTCTGAAACTACATGCTTGATCAAATACATGTATTCGTCGGCTGTTGTCTCTCGAGGAAGCGACCGTGTCTCGATGTCTCGCTAGATATTAAACATTATCGCGCTGTATGATGCGCACCAATCATTAATCGCGAATCAGCTTCTATTCGATCGTCTCGTTGACGCTGGGGTCCGTAATTAGGCATCTTGAACTTTGGCGGTGGCAGCGAATGCCCTCTTGACGGCCTTGTTGTACTTGTGCGTTTCGATGCATGCCATCACGAACAAGCAGAAGCGAATGATCCTGCATGCCATGTTAGCTATTGGACACCACAAAACCTTGGACTGCTTGAAGACACGCACGTTGCAAAACCTCCCAGGACGAGGGCGCCAGTGGTGAAGCTCCGCACCTCGTCCGCCTCCTTCTGATCGGTCGGGTATTCCTCGTTCGTCCACGCGGTCCACAAAACACCCGTAATGACGATGACGATGATGGAGGCGAGGAGCAGGATGAGGTCGACGCCGACGCAGGCGCCCGGGTGGATGCCGCGGCGGTTGTTGCGCACGAGCAGGCAAATGCTCTCTGCGACGTCCCAAAGGAAGGACGCACCGGCCTGCATTGCAAACTATTAGGGCTTCTCTCACAAAATACAGTCGAAGATAACGAGAATCGGCTTAGACGTACCGGCGCGCATAGCATGATTATCGGCAGGTAGTTTCCCGTGCTGGCGGGTTTGGCGAGGAGGATGAGGGCGATCATCCAGAGGACGGCGGCGGTGATGCGCAACCCGAGCTTGGTCCTCCAGCGGCCCGTGGAGGTGAGCTCTTCGGGATAGACGTTGTCCATGGCTGTTGCGCTGTGAGCGAGCGTGGGTGAAGATTGGGTCTGGCGAGATGGACGTCGTTGATGGTATTCGCAGCGCGTCCGACTGGTGACTCTGGTCTAAGCCGCTTGGCCAGCGTGGTGTGCGAGACCGCAGTCCTTTTAAAGGCCCGACCGAGCAGCATCACTTGCCACACACGCACGCTCGCACATATGCAGGCACGCACGGGCGAGACGTTGTGTGTCGTACTTGACCTGCACAGAGCCAGTGATACGGTGCTATTGGCCCGAGGTGGCGGTGATCTACAGCGAGCTGAGGCATCCGGGTCAGACCTGACGTGTGCCAATGCCCACGCGGCCACCCTTTTGCGGCGCTCTTCTGCCCATCCGGCTCAGTGGCCCCCGCAAGTCCCCGTAGATCATTGAGGCGCGGGGGGCGACGATGAATTTAAGCTTAGAGGTCAACTTTAGTGGAAACGACAGGCACCTTACGCTGGCCAATGCTGAATCGGGCATGCGCCGCCCCTTCGTCACGAGCGCAGGGACCTTTGCGTCCCGTGGCTGTGCGGCTGCTGGTACTCTCTGCAGTGGTGATGGTTGGCTATAATTAAGGTATTCGCGTCGAACGACATGCATATACATGTGGCCATAGCCACAAGGGAATTTGCAGATCCCGAGGTTTCTTGAACCTTTTCAGTTGCCGCACAATTTGGTGCCATCGGCCTTCCTTTCAGTGCCCGTACCTTGTGCCGCTGGCTTTGGGGCGTGTCGCACCCAACATGTTCCCGCGTACATGTACACTACCTCGTTATCAGCCGACCGGAAGGGAAAACGGGGCGATGAAAAAGGCATCAGCATAATCGTTTGTTTGCACAGGTACGCGCCGAGGTGCTCGCTGTAGAAGCCTTCCTGCCTACAGCATACGATACGTCAGTTCCTGCAACGCACCATCCAAGAACCAACACGAGTTTGCCTCGGGGGCCGTCGCTGTACCACGACCCTGACGCGCAACCCATTGCATGCACAGCCGTGACCAGTCAAACGGATCATGGAGGTTCAAGCGGCCTCGCTTCAAGCCTGTGCCAAAGATGCACAAGATCTGCCATTCTGCGATGAACTAGCTACCTCAATCAAGTCTTGCACTAATTTCCCTTGTACCAGTCATGCAGAATCTGCGGCCTCTTTTGAAGCTTGTCAAGCTCAACCCATTTGCTGCAGCCCGCTTCGGGCCCTACATAGCCCACGGAATATCCCATCTTCCACTTGGCGTCAACTCTTCCACCGAAAGCTGATCCACGTTTCTATGACTGGAACCCTGTACAAGGCAAACGAGCTTCTCACCAGAGACCTTCTTCAGCTTCAGCCGCCCCAAGCCATATGGATTGCCCATCAGGCCCCCGGATAGTAATTGTAGTGGGTGCGATTTCAGCTTCCAGGCGTCTAGCAGCTCTTGCGCTGCAGGGAACCACACAATGACGAAAGCTCGCTGCTCCTCGCTAGCTTCTCGAACGAACGGCTCTGCATGAGCTCGCCGGCCCGTTGGGCCAATATATTTACAGTTGAGGGTGCGCTTGGCATAGGAATTGGCGCGTTAAACCATCTGCATGTGATGTTTTGCATGATTTCTCCTGGTTAATCGCTCGTCATCCCGCTTGAGGGCTTTCTGCATGGTACAGTTTTAGCTCTGCCCGAATATTGACAAAAAGTCTCATTGGTAGAAAAGACCGCACGGCCATGTATAACCACAAGACACTTCATGCATCTGGCACATCCTACTATGCGCTGCCATCTAAGACGCAATGCACATATGTGAAAGGAAGATCTAGAAATTTTATAAATGCCAGAGAAGATGCCATGTCCAATATTCCGGCTTGACCAGATCTGCTCCGACTGAATAACATTGCTACACCTGCCTACCCTCAACTTGCGCCAGAATGAAGATATTTGAAACAGCCCTTCTCGCCGCCACACTCGGGTTGGTCTGTGGCAAGCCAGCAAGCACAACCACGGCTTTGAATGGTCGAGACGGCCGTGCTGAAAACCCAAACTTCCCCGTATTGATGGACCTCACACAGCAGAAGCTTGGTGTTCTTGACGATTTCAAGACAAAGCTTGATGCCTTCGAAGATTTGACGAATTATTCTGACCCTCTTGAAGCGTTCAACAAGATCTCTGATGCCATTGAAGACTTCAAGACGCTCATTTGGCGCATCGAGAGCCTCGAGGTCCTGACAGAGGGCGCGTTGAACGCTGATGTAAGTCAACACTCGGTGCTCCCTCACCGTCGAATGTTTTTCAACCAAGAGCCACTGACGACGTAATAGGTGTTACGGTACTCGAAGCCAATTCCTATCACCGCTTGATGAGGTAGCGTGGGACGTAACGGGCGAAGGGATGATGAGGATCTCCGGGCCGCTCGTTTTCTAGGGTAAACTTGATGAAGACATCACGGCTGCATAGACGAAGCAAAAGTAGGAGGGAAAGATAGTTTCTTACTGAACGCCTCACTATTATATCCAAGATACTTCTTATTGCCCTATCCTAATGTCTCACCGTTGGCGTATAGTCTCGCACTGCAATAAGGCAACCCTGGTCTACCTTAAAGCACCAGATATACTCGCCGTGACGAGCCATCATCACTCAGCACTTGCAAATCCATGTTGAACTCAAATTAATCCGAGTTAGGCTGACTAGGTATCTGCTATGTCTATACTTTGGCCTTCTCGTCAACAGTCTCCTCGACGCTGATGCTCTCATCCTCAGCCTCCTCCTCCGTCTTATGGTTGCGCAGCGTCAGCACGGTGGGAATCGCGACCAGCAGACTACCAATGCTCAGCCCCCAGTTCATGGCAAATTGCGTCATGGCCGAGTAGCCCTCGGCGTTGACCCTCCAGGCCATCGACCCGCCCGCCGGCTTCAGCGCCGAATAGGTGCCCACGACGACGGCGTTGACGACGGGGCTGTGCGACTGCGCGCCGATGATCCAGTAGCAGTACGCCTGCCAGAACGAGTCGTACGCGCCGTAGAAGAAGTACAGGAACATGGGACCCAGGAAGACGCTCCCGTCAGTATAGTCAATGTCCTGCTTGTGGCCCTGGCGCAGCCGCTGATCGTTCCACAGCTGGAACTTATATCCGCCGCCCCAGATGGCCATACCTGTGACGAAGAGCACCGCCCAGCCGGCTAGTGCGCGTGCCTTGCGGCCAAGTCGCCCGTAGTCAAGTACAAGACCCATGAGCAGCCCGCCAAACATCTGGGCGATCCAGTACAGTGCACCGTTGAGCGACCGCGTGCGTAGGTTGAACGTCTGGCCGTTGACGTTGTTCTGCTGGTACGAGTAGAACACATTGGCGTTGAAGAACATGGGATACAAGCACATGATCCTCCAGTCAAAGACAATCTTGGCGGTCTGCACCGCCGACTCGCGCAGGTTGGCCCAAGTGATGGCCTTGGACTCGCGCGCGATGCGGCTGCCTGTGTACTTTGCGGAAAGCGACTCGGTCGAGCACACGAGCGCCGAGAGCGCCCAGCCGAAGAGCATGACGACGATGTAGGCAATGTAGGTAGAGTCGGTGACGGTGCCCGAAGCGGAGTGGAAGTTGAGGCCGAAGCTGATGAGCGAGCCGATGGCGCCGCCGAGGTTGAAGACTACCCAGAACAGGCCAATTGCGCGGCCGCGCGTGCCGTCGTTGGTGTAAGTCACCATGACGGTGCCCTGCGCGACCCAGAAGAAGGCCGCGCCGACGCCGAGCAGGGCGCCCGCGGCGATGACGAACGGGCCGTTGTGGGTGCGGTTGAAGTTGAGCAGCGAGCCGGCGTAGAGCGCATACGTCCAGCCGCCTAGCAAGAGAGATAGCCGAGGACCCAAATACTTGTAGAAAGCGCCCACGAGGAGGAGGGCCGCACCGGCGGTGCAGGCGTGCGTGGCCACGTTGGAGTTGGCGGCGACAGTGCCGTCAACCTGACCGGATCCGCCCATGCCGGTGAGGGCATTGTACATGCCCGGGTTGCAGAAGGAAATGAGAGAGATGAGGACGATCTGGGTCCATGGATCATGAAGGAGCCTCTTCATCTTGGAGGGCTCACGGGGAGCGTTGCCGTCTGTGTCGGTGGCCATTGTGTTTGAGGCAGGAGAGGACTGGTGTCTCTGTGTCAAAAATGAAGAGTTGAGTACGCCTATGATCCCTGGGGAAGGCCAATGCAACTTTCTGGGGTCGCTTTCGATGCGTTCACGTCCATTTAAGTTTAAATGCATGAATGTAGTCGGTGTTGCTCCAGGCGGAGGCTCGCTCCCCATCTCACGGGGAGCCCGGGGGGAAGCCACCGGATCGCGGCACCGAGATCCGTTCGGCCAGGGCAAGACCGACCGGAGCAGATGCCGAGCCCTCGCCGCGGCCGGAGCACGCAAGCTTCGATAGATTTAAAAGTTGTTCAAGAGAAGGACGGATAAATAACGCCGTATGGACGCTACTATTGGCAAACCGCCGCGCGAGCACCTGCATACGATAACCACCCCTGCCATGGCGCCATCGCCGGACCCTCATCAGAGTGAGCACGCGCTCAGCAGCCTCCAGACTGAGGCCCTCAGCCCCGTGGCGCGCACCATGGACTCGATGGACACGCTGGATTTGTGCACGTCCTTCAACCGCGAGGAGGCCCGCGTGGCGTGCGCAATCGCGGCGTGTCTGCCCGCCATTGCGGCCTTCGTCGACGACCTCGTCCCGCGTCTACGTGCTGGCGGACGGCTTGTGTACGTGGGCGCGGGAAACAGCGGGCGTGTCGCCCATATGGACTGCGCGGAGCTGCCAGTCACCTTCTCGGTTGATCGAGAGCAGTTCCTGGCCGTGGTGGCGGGCGGGACCGGGGCTGTGCTTGAGGCCGTCGAGGGCGCTGAAGACCTCTTCGACGACGGCGCAACCAAGATGAATGACCTTTGTCTGACTTCACAAGATACCGTCATTGGCATTTCAGCTTCGGGGCGAACGCCGTTTGCCATGGGCGCCCTGGAGGTGGCGATGCGGTGTGGCTCCCTGACGGCGGTCATCACCAACACACGGCCATCTCGCATGGAGGACATGGGCGTCGCACACCCCATCAGCGTGCCTGTCGGACCCGAATTCGTGACAGGCAGCACGCGTCTCAAGGCAGGCAGCTGCGCGAAGCAAGTCCTCAACATGATCAGCACCTGCGCCATGGTCAACCTCGGCAAGACGCATGGCGGGCTCATGGTCGACGTCAGGGCAAACAACGAGAAGCTCCACGCGAGGGGGAGACGCATCGTACGGCAGGTGTGCGCGGGGAAGCCGCTGATGCGAACTATTTCTCAGCACGTGCTGCCAAATGCTGAGGCAGATGAGGACGCCGGGATCGACGCGCTGATCGAGCGCTGTGGCGGCAGCGTCAAGCTCGCCTGCGCCGTTGGACTCTCTGGTCTGCACCCGGATGTCGCAAAGCGGAGACTGGATGCTGTAGATGGCCATCTGCAGGCATTCGCGACCGGGCTCGGACCGGAGTTACAATCACTGGCAGGTCGCACGGGTACGGATCGCGAGAAAGCAGAGAAAGACGACGACTACTTCCTGTGCGTGGACGGCGGCGGGACCAAGTGTGCCGTATCCATCGCTACGCGAATAGGCACAGTTGCTCGAGCAACTGCAGGGCCCTGCAATCTCAATTCGGCCCCCTTGGACGACATCGTTGAGCAGATCCGGTGCGCAACTGCCGCAGCCGTAGCTTCAATACACCCATCAAACGACCCGAGCCGACCATGGCCGAGATTCACCAAGGTCTGGGCTGGCATCGCCGGATTGCACCACACCAGCCAAGCCGAATTGCTGTCATCTCGCCTTGAACAACTCCTCGGTGTGTCCGCAAAGGAGGGGAGCCTGCGCCTGACGTGCGACACGTCGCTGCTGTCGGCGTGCCTCGGCGCGGACGAGCTAGCGGAAGGATGTATCGCTCTTGTTGCTGGCACAGGAGCCGTGGCGACGGCTTTCAGGAGATCGGACTCGGGAGACGACGCCGTACAAGTCGGGCGGACAGGCGGTTGGGGCCATCTCGTCGGCGACCAGGGAAGTGCGTTCTACATCGGCCAGCAAGCGCTGCGAACCGTCCTCGCGAGCCTGGAAGGCCGCCAGAGCGAGACCCAGCCCCGTTCGCTCAACCGCCTCGAAGCCGCCGTCGTCAAGCACCTGGACTGCGACCCGAGAGACGTCCTATCTAGCATCTTAGTGCCGGGCGTGGAACTGCCCAAGCAGCGCATCGGCAGAATATCCAAGGTGGTCACGGAGCTAGGGTTTGCTGATGGCGATCCGGATCCGCAAGCCCTGGCGATTCTTCACGACGCGGCCAGTTGCCTCGCGCGCATCGTCAAGCCACTGGCATCGCAAAAGATGTGCGATCCTGCAAAGAGCATTTTGGCTCTATCGGGGGCATTGATGAACGTCAAGCCGTATCGGGAGTTGGTCCTGGACAAGTGCGCGGCGATGGGCGTGTCCTTCAGGAGGACCGTCCTTGTCGACGACGCGTCGGCGTACGGGGCCGAGTTCCTCTCCAAGACGGCTCCCACGCCGCTAGATGAGGATATGGGACGGTTGCTTGCGAGCCGGCAAGTCGAGAAGGATACTATAATTGGGGACCAGATGTCGCACAGCTGCAACGTGGACCTGCCCAGCATCAGGCCGGGGCTGCAGAAACTATCTGTCGCATGAGACAGCAGCCGCCACCCCGACCCCCTTCTAGAACATCGAATAGACTAGACACAGGCATGGCCTCACGCATTGATGACAATTGACCCTGTGATTGAGAGGTCGTCAACCAAAGTCTTACCATCACGGGACATGATCGCGAAATGGGCAAGGAATGCCGGCGAGCCAGAATCGGCAACCGAGAATTTGTCCGGATGCGGAACCTCCGCTCGACTCCTGGAGCCCAGGGCGCGGAGAATTAAGCTTGACGGGGTAAGAACTAGCGGCAGTCCTCCACCGCCCTCCGATCACAATAGCGGCGCAGACCGTTGAAACAGGGCTGAGAAGGACCTCGCTTCCATGTTTCCATGACAAAGACGAAATCCGTCGTTCGGCCATGGCTGCCCTGTTGGAAGGAGGAAACCTCCGCGTGGGCTCCGCCAGGGTTGGTATGGATGGTCGGGGAGGCTCGGGTGGCTGCGCTCTTGGCTTTCCTCCAGCAAACATGGATGGATGGATCGAAGCGCAGCCAGCCATGTGGCCTCTTCGTATCCCTCCATCCCCATCCCCCAGGACGCCATGCCTCTCAACTGGGCTTGCTGGGGCCGCCGCCTCATCCACTGCCGGCCGAGAAGTCCCCCTGCTAGGCCTGAACTTGCCACACCGGGTGCTGCCAGTGGAGACAGACGGGGAGCCAGTTCCGCGTGGCTCGTCGGTCCGAGAAGCCGTCAGGGAGAGAAGAGAGGGCGGTGATGCCCCATCGGTCTGATCGGATCAATTACCTTCCATCTCGCTCCCGGCGATGGCGTGCGGAATGTCGTTTCCCAGATCCTCTCCGTCTCCCGTTGACTCATGCCGGGCGGCGTCGATCCTCGGGACGAGAACCGGGGCCATCAATTACAAACCACCATCTTGTGATCTCGCTTTGGTCTACTTGTGCTGTCGTTGACCTGTTTGTCGTGGCTGTCACCGGGACGATGATAAAACATTGAACCCACGCCCTGCTTTGAGACCAAGCTGGGAGAGGCGAACATCACCAAAGGCGATTGCAACGAAAAGCATCCGACCAAACGCCCGTCTGCGCATTATCGGCCTGTCGCCGACGCACCTTTGCCTTCTCGGCGAAGCAGCCCAATCCATAGCCATGCCTTCCTGCTCATCGACCACCACCATCGAGCTGCAGCCCGTCGAGGCTCTGCCCACACACCCAGCCCCGGCAGCCAAGCAGCTGCGAGACAACAACAGCGAGACGAAGCGCCATGTGGGACGCAAGGAGCAGCCGGTAGGTAATGAAGATGCCGGTTCATCGTCAGACGGCAACAGGCTGCTGGGCGAGTTGGGCGGCTCGGAGCCGTGCCCAACGCCGGCGGTGCGCGCGGCCGAGAAGTGGAACGAGCCCCGGCGCAACTCGTACCGCCTCGGCGCCGCGTTTTGGTGCTTCCTCGTCATGGGCGCCAACGACTCGGCGTACGGAGTGAGTGACGGTCCCCAATTACCCAAAGCCTGTTTGCTTCAGCGTGAGTCTAGAAACACAAGTTCATGTTGCTGACTTGAGACAACATAGCCCCTGATTCCCTATGTAAGTCCCGATATTTGATCAGACGCTTGTAGCTGCGCCGCGTCGCGCAACAGTGACTGGACTGACGCCAGGCAGCTCGAGAAATACTACGACCTCACGTACATTGTCGTCTCGCTCGTCTTCCTCTCGCCCTTCATCGGGTACGTCGCCTCGGCGCTGCTCAACAACACGCTGCACCACAAGTTCGGCCAGCGCGGCGTGGCCGTCATCTGCGCGTCGAGCCACCTCGCCGCCTACGCTGTCATCGCCGCGCACCCGCCGTACATTGTCCTCGTCTTCGCCTTCATCCTCGCGGGCTTCGGCAACGGCGTGGCTGACGCCGCGTGGAACGCCTGGGTCGGCAACCTCGCCAACTCGAGCGAGCTGCTGGGCTTCCTGCACGCGCTTTACGGCGTGGGCGGCGTGGTGAGCCCGCTGATTGCGACGACGCTCATTACAAAGGCCAATTTGCCTTGGTATTCGTTCTACTACATCATGGTGCGGAGGCGTCCCTTTATGCCCAAGCCGTTGAGAGTCGGAGAACATGACGGTGCTGACCCGATGCGAACAGATTGGCCTCGCGGGCATCGAGCTCGTCATGCTGGCCTCGGCATTCTGGGACTCCAACGGGGCGACCTACCGCCGCGTGTACCAAGAGAGCGAGCTCGACAGCCACAGCAAGCTCACCGAGGCACTCTTCCAGAAGCCTGCCGCCCGCGTATGCTGGGTTGCCGCCGTGTTTCTCCTGTGCTACGTCGGCGCCGAGGTCGCGCTCGGGGGGTGGATCGTCACCTTTATGCTGCGCGTGCGCCAGGGCGAGGAGTTTGCTAGTGGCATGTCCGCCGTAGGCTTCTGGCTCGGCATCACCGTCGGACGAGCGGTCCTGGGCTTCGTGACGCCTCGAATCGGCGTCAAGCTCTCCACAGCGGTAAGACCGGCATCTACCCCAAAGCCCTCACCGAATCTTTAAACCATGGAATGCTGATCTTGTGCTTGTGTGTCTATCCAGTGCTACATCGGGGCAGTCATGGCCCTGGAGCTCGTGTTCTGGCTTGTCCCGCAGTTCTATGTCTCGGCCGTGGCCGTCGCCTTCCAGGGCTTCTTCCTGGGACCCATGTTCCCCAATGCAGTCCTCGTCGCGAGCAAGCTGCTGCCGCGACACCAGCACGTCGTAGTGATTGGCTTCGCAGCGGCGTTTGGCGGCTGCGGCGCGGCACTGCTGCCCTTCCTCATCGGCCTGCTCGCGCAGTCGTCGGGCGTGCGCGTGCTGCAGCCCATCATCCTGGCGCTGCTGGCGACCATGCTGGTGGTGTGGCTGCTGTTTCCGCGCATCGATAAGAAGCGGGACTAAAGGCCATTAGCATCATGTTGTAGCGGAAAAATCCGCATGATAAACCACATGCGACAGAGTGATGCAGGAAAGGAAGATTTGGGGAGGTTGGTGGTAATAGCTCATGCTGAGTCGGAGTAAACGCGGGTGTCTGATCGTGAGCCGTGGTCCATGGAAAGGGTCAGAATGTTGGGAAAGAAGCATGGCGTCATCATTTATATGTAAATTGCAAATGCCAGTCACCTTGATGCTTTAATTGCCAACTCCAAGAGACCCCCATGCACGCCCATATCCGTCATTGTAGTTGCCATCGCTGGCGTCTACCAAGGCCCCTCACAAGTCCGGCACGGGCTCGACCGTCTTCACCACCTTGGCAGGCGATCCAATGGCGACGGAAAAGTCGGGGATGTCCTTGGTCACGACGCTGCCGGCGCCGATGGTGCAGCCCTTGCCAATCGTCACGCCGGGCATGATGGTCACATTGCCGCCGATCCAGCAGTCGTCGCCGATGGTGACGAAGCTCGCGTACTCGACGCCGTCGCGGCGCGACTGCACGCCCGTCTCGTGCGTGGCGGCGAAGATGGACACGAAGGGCCCGAAGAGCACGCGGTTGCCGATCTTGACCATGCCGCAGTCGAGGATGACGAGGCTGGGACCGGCTGTTAGCATGGCGTCCATCGTCTCAACTCGTTCACTCGCGGCAATGCTCACTTGAAGTTGGAGTAGAAGCCGTCGCCGATGGAAATGTTGCAGCCGTAGTCAATGTTGAGCGGCGGCTCGATGAATGGCGCCTTGCCGACGTGCCCGAACATGGACCTGATCATGGCCTCGCGATCATCGGTCAAGGACTGCGGCGTTGCGTCGTCGGGAAAGTACGTGTTGTACTTGTTCATGAGCCGGCGCGCGCGGAAGCGCCCATCGACAAGCTCCGGCGCCAGGCAGTTGTACCTGTGCGAAGAGGAAGAGTCTCAGAACCGCGGTCGTGCATCGTCGCGGACGACAAAGGGGAGGCTGGGTCGAGATATGGATGGAGTCTTACAGCACGCCGGAGATCATCTTCTCGTAGTCATCGCACCACGGCGTGTTGGCCAGCGACTTGGCATACTCTATCGTCGCGGGGTCCTTTTCCTTGCTCGCCATGGTGGATGGGTGGTTTGAGGGCGGGAGTCGAGGTGTGAGGATTGAAGGTGAGAGTGGGAGTGAGGGTGTGGCACGAAGTACGGTGACACTGACGATGTTTATTGGGGCTCTGGCACAGCCCGGCGAACCTTCTGCTGGTGCTCACCGATACAAGGAAACCGCGGGCGCCAGTTGTCCTAGAGGGCGCCGACACACTTGGCAGGACTGATGGGGCCAGTTGGCGCCTCCACTGCAAAAGAGACATTTGTAGGCTGCAGCAGCGGACAATTACTCGACGTGGAGAAACTCCGTCGCTGGGTCCAACACCGCAGTTCGGTGAGTTAGTTCCTTCGCATGGGGCTTACAAGCGTGTCTTGGGTTCGATGTTCCCATCTCAGCCTAATATTGCTGGTACGAGCACGAGCGCACGAAATGAACACGACGCTTTATGGCTCTATGCTCTAACACGAAGTAGAAGGTAGACGTATGCTCCATGAGGAATCAACGTTGAACTCATGCCGCCTTGGCCAGCTCCACGACTCGCTGTGCTGCGCGCCCAAAATCCGACTCGACGTGTAGGCCCAGGTTGGCCTCGGCCAGCTGCGCATGAAATGTCAGTCTCTCTCTTATGTTTGCGCTCTGACGGCCAATGAAGCGGAGACGGCACGGGGTGCGCCGGCATTTCGTCGTGCTGGGTGTTGAACTTACCAGTCTGAGGCCCTCGGCAGAGTTCGTGCCCTGCAGCCTCACCACCATGGGCACGCGAATGTCCAGCTCCTTGCTCGCGCCGATGATGGATTCGGCAATCATGTCGCACCTCGTCAGGCCTGCGTCGCGTCGATCAGTCACGAACTATTATCTACCACAGCTCAACTTGCGCGCTCCTCACCTCCGTAGATATTCACCAGGATCGCCTTGACCCGCGGGTCGCGCGTAATGATGCCAAACGCTTGCTGCATCGTCTCCTTGGTCGCCTTGCCCCCAGCATCAAGAAAGTTGGAGTTGGCGCCGCCGTGGAACCCAATGGCGTCGTTGGTCGCCATCGCGAGCCCCGCGCCGTTGACCACGTTGCCGATGTCGCCGTCCATCTTGACATACAGCAGCCCGTGGCGCTCCGCCTCGAGCTCGTCGGCGACCTCCTGGCTGCGGTCGCGCAGCGCAAACATGTCGCACTGCCGGTGAACGGCCGAGTTGTCAAACGTAAACGTCGCGTCGAGGCAGGTGAAGGACCCGTCGGGAGAGTGAGCGAGCGGGTTGACTTCGAGCAGAGTGCCGTCCTTTTGTGAGAAGATTTGGTACATTGATGAGAGGATGGGTGCGAGGCTCTCCGTCTCCGGCGCCGAGAGGCCGACCTTTGATGAAATGTCGGAAACAAGAGCCTGGGTGATGCCTTCGGAGAGGCCAAAGTTGAACGTGTGGATGCTCTCGGGGTGCTCCTGTGCGATCACGTCAATGTCCCGGCCGCCCTTCTTCGAGATGATGATTGCTGGCGCGTAGTTGCTGCGGTCGATTGTCATGGCGAGATACCATTCGGCGTCAAACGGCACTGTCTCGGCCACGTACAGCTCGTTCACGGCGTGGCCTTCCTTGGGCGAGCGCCTCGTACGCAGGCGCTGTCCGAGCATCTGGGACGCCAGCGCGGCGGCCTCCTCCGGGTCGCGAACAGCCCGGACGCCGCCCTGAACGCCGTTGTCGAAGACGCCTCCCGCGCGGCCGCCATCGAGGACCTGCGCCTTGATGAAGCAAGGGCCTGGTGTGGCACTGCGTTAGCCAGCCAAGTCTCGCATCTAGCCTGCGGCCGGAGGAAGATGAGGAAACTCACCGAGCTCGTTGACGGCGGAGCGAGCCTCATCGGGTGTTCGCACGAGCCGGCCTTTTGGAACAGGCGCACCAAACTACATAACGCGGTTAAAGGAGCCAGGAGCTGAGAAAGGTTCAAGCGTATTTACCTCAATAAGTAGTTTGTGCGACTGATACTCGTGGATGCTCAGTTGTCGTACCTGCTGCCTCGGCAGTGCCTGTGGTGAACGGTGTCAGCCAGTCACTCAAGATGAACCCAGCGGACACCTGGGACACCATACATACCTTGGCAGCGGACCTCAAGAGCCTATGCGTCGCTCTTTGCAAAACCATGATTTCGCGGCTCGTATGGTCAGGACCGGGTGAGAGACTGGGGAATCAGTCGCAGTCTCACGATGCCCATGCATGTATGTTTTGTAGATGGCCCTCCGGCGTCGGTCCCGTAGCGGCTCTTGCAAGGGGGCCGCACACCACCATAACTCGCAGCCACAGGGCCCTGTGCCTGGAAGTGTTGGCGTCATTCCGGCGGGCCCCAGGTTGCCGGCGCCGTCGTCGATGCGGGGGGCTGGCTCGGCTATACAACTGACGCTGTGGGGGAGGTGGGCCAGGCGGCTTATAACCGAGAGACGGTGGCATCGGCGTCACTGAATGTGGCCGAGTCCGCTTGGGCTATGCCAGAATCCGGGAGGCTGTCATGTCGGCTGCGCAGATGTTTACTATTCAAGCGAAGACTTCTTCATGTCGGTGCTTGTACATGTAGACTTTCACAGAGGTTAAAAGGAGGGGATCATGAAGCGATGCGTCCAGCCACCGCCATGACAATTACAGAGTCCCTTGCGGTAGAAGGTTACGATGCATTTAACACTGGACAACAGTAGCTAGCGCTGCGCCGTCGAAATTGGTAAATTGAAGCACGGAATTGCATGCCCAACTCATATCCATTAGTTTGCTCCAGAGATGGCGAGCTCTCATACCCCTAGTCGTTGTAATTGAAGCCTAGGAACTTCGCAACCTCTGCCTTCATACACACTGTGCCTTTTTTCTCGGCAATAATGTGATGCACGCCTTGCCGCTCGTCCTCGCTCGACCTCTCTGTCTTGATGTTGTACGTCTCGCCTGCGTATATCGGCGACATGGCACGGTAGCTAATACTCGCCGGCTCCAAGCCCGCGCCGTGAACGTCGCGCCAGTAGTCGAGAATGTTGATCAGATTCAGCGGCCCATGGACGACAATCCCAGGATGGCCTTCCACTCGCTGGCTCCATTCCTCGTTGAAGTGAATCTTGTGCCCGTTGAACGTCAGCGCCGAGAAGCGAAACAGTCCCACCGGCGACCAGCACAACTGCCGTACAGGAAAGCCGCTCGCATCCGCTCCCACATCCTGTATCGTCGTCGCAGCCCGCGGCACCTCGCCCGTCAACGACGCGTGCTCACTCGCACTGGAGGGGTCAATTTCCGGCCGGAATATCCACGACCTCCTGTCGACGACGGTGTGGCCCCTCGGCGCGCACAGCTCCTTTTCCACCTCGACGAGCACCATCTCGCCCCCACCGCGGCTCTTCTTGGGCGTCGCGCTCACCAAGCGCGTCCGCTCCTCGACCTCGTCGCCCACTCGCAGTGTCGCGTGTTCTGACGCCGTTGCGTCGGGCCAGGACATGCGACCGCCTGCCCACATCCGCCGGGTGAACGGCTGGGGCGCGTTGAACGTGCGGTCCGTCCCGTCGGCGCTGAGCTCCGACTCAAGGCCCCCCGGTGTGAAGTAGACGAGGTGGTAGCCTGCAGGGATGGGTGTGCCCACGCGGGGTGCTTCCGTGGAGATGTCCGTGGCGCCGAGGGTTGGGCGACCGAGCGTGAGGGCGAGCTTCTGGACTTGGTTGGCGTCTAAGACCTGGCGGCGGATGGAGACGGCTCCGGCAAAGGTATCGAGCATGCGCGAGGCGGCCTCGGATGCGGTCGCGCCGCTGGCATGGTGATGCTGTGATGAGCTGAACGCGCGACGCTGCACGAGTGGCGCCAGGGCGCGCAGCGTCTTGCCGCTGGGCATGGCGTACAGTGCTTTCCCGCTTCTAGTCGGTTCAATGCCCTACGTCGTGGCCATCAAATGTTCGATAGTGAGGTTATATGTGGGTTGGGTGGTGATCAGGGGTCGCGACGTATGAAGTGCAGCCAGAGGATGTTGACGTCGGTTACTTGCGCTAGACCTGTTTACAGTGGAGTTGCCGAGGCCTGGAGCCGCTGTAACCCAACATGGGGGGTGTCACTTACACGCTGACAGCGCGCTTACTCTCGCGTCGTGCAACACAACATTGAGCGTTCAAGGAGGTCATCGGTGTCAGACAGAAGTCCGGTAGCATTCAATCTCGTGTCACTATATACTCATCACAGGATAATATGCCTCATAGAAGTGTATCTCGTTTCCCATGTACATCCAAAACGAGCCCCAGTATTAACCGGCGTTGGCAATCTTCTTGAGAGCAGTAATGTCGCCGTTAAAGGTATCCGCATCACCACCCCAGGGCGCCGCGTCCGAGTACTGCCAGAAGGTGTAGAAGCCCCAGCCAGCAGGGAGCGTGCCGACGGAGCTAGCATAGCGCGCGACGACGAGAGGGCACTTGCTGCCAAAGGCGGCGCTGTTGCCCGTGCACTGCGTCCACCAGCTGGTCGAGGTGTAGATGAGCGGGTAGACGCCCGTGGCGGCGTGGTACGTGTTGACAAAGTCGTTGATCCAGCTGACCATGGCGCTCTGTGAGAGCCCGCCGCACGCGCTGCTCGACGACTGGTACTCCATGTCGAGCATGCCAGGCAGCGTGATGCCGTCCTTGGACCAGCCGCCGCCGTGCGCGATAAAGTACTTGGCCTGCGCGGCACCGGACGAGGACGCCGGGCGGGCAAAGTGGTAGCCGCCGCGGATGAAGCCCGCCTTGGTGGCGCCCGTGTAGTGCGAGCTGAAGCTGGGGTCCGTGTACGTGGTGCCCTCCGTGGCCTGCCGACGTGAACGTTAGATGGAATTCAGGGGAAGCTCTTCATCTGGGTGAACGCACCTTGATCATCACGAAGCGGGCGCCATCGGCATAGGCCTTGGCAAAGTCGACGTTGGGCTGATAGTGGGAAATGTCAAAGCCCTTGACGGCGGCAGAGGCCACGCCGCAGAGGGCGGACACGGAGGCGGCGACGGATGCGAACTTCATGTTGGATATGGATGTCCTTGTAGTTGAAGTCTTGCGCGGTAAGTATGGGGTGTCTATCAGAGGGGGAGAACACTCTCTATATATATCAGGACCCTGCCCGCTAACGGATGCGAAGGCATCATCGCAACGTTGCCATCGATTTAAATATAGCACATAGAAGACTCCTCGCGCCGCTCTGCCTCGCCTCGCGAGAGAATCGGCCGACCTTCTCTCTCCGCGGCTAAAAACGCCTCCAAAGCCCCTGCCGAGCGCACCAGATCCCCTGATCTTACCCCCGTGCCCGAAGCCATGGACGATGGGCCAGGAGGGCGATCGGCGGCCCCTCGAGATGCGCCGAACCAGGCCGCCCCCACAAATTGCTTCCACGGGCAGCACTGAGTCCTGACGACGGCGCATGCAGCTGCGGGCTCCGAAACCTTGGCAGATTGGCTACAGTAGTTCCCGGTTTGCCCCTGTGGAACGATCTACGATGGCGTTTGGACGGGGGCCCGCACTGGCCGGCGGCTTATCAGCCAGTCGCACGCGCGGCCAAGTTGGGATGTTGGATGTTTGACAGTGTTTGGAGGCCTGGCAGATGGAGTAAAAATAGTCCTTCAGGGTCCATGGCTGAAGCCCTCAAGTTGTGCCTGATTGACGACTGGACTGGACTCTGACTTCGCAAGGCTCCCGGCGGTTCAGCTTGTGCTGTGTTCCCCTGGCGGACTGAGACAGCCCTGGCCGTGGCTTGAGCCCAGACGGCATTGTCTGCCGAACGGCCCCAGAGCGGACCGCCGATCCGGTGTAGAGTCTCTCCATCTTACTTTTGAGAGTTGGAAGCACCGAGCGCGCTAACCTTCCTTGCCGGCGAGGTTGTCACTCAGGTGTGTATCTGTGTGGCAAACTCGCACTGCACTTGGCTGACTTCCGAAAGGCTTGAAGCGATATGCACTGCAACCCAAGCGGCGGGCGCACAGGCGCCATCATGGCTCGAACGGGTGATGCGCTGAATGTTGTCGACCTGACTTGGCGCTGTGCAGCCTCCAACCAGACAACTTTGTTACGCCTTGCTAGGGTGACTGGCAATCTGAAAGTAGAGCCTCGAATCGATTGACTGGATTACGACTGCTATTCTCCGAACAAACACGCGGCTTCATATGGCTCGAAATCGAAAACACTCGCTCCTCAATGTCTTCCTGGGCATCCAGTCGCAAGTCTATTGCAGGACCGACTATGGCGTCGGCGGCTTCCCAACTTCCCAACCTGGATAGAGCTCGGTGACCCTAATTAGAAACATCGGCGAGCGGGGTACCATATCCAGGCTTCAATCGTCGGGAGCTTCCGCCACATCGCGGACATAGACCCTGGGAGGCGAACGGCTTTTCCGATGACCCCCTCCAGTCCCCAGCGCAAGCGAGTCTCTATCCGTGGCGAAACATATGCACGGGTCTTATTTCCAGATATCTGTTTGCAGATCGTGGTGTATCGCAAGGGCTATCGATGGCGTCAGCCGAGGCCTCTGATCGGCGCTCCTAGCAACGCTGGAGGAGCTTGGGCGCGCGATAGATGCGGCGCGGAGCCGAGGTGCCCGCGTCCGCTGCGCGAGAGTTAAAGCACCATCCGAATAGGTCGTCCAGTGCGAAGCCAGTGGCGGTTATTATGTCGCGAGGCAAGTTTATGCGAGACGATCGAACCTGATTGCCTTCGTGTACCCGCCAACTGATCTTGCATCCTCAACAAACGAATGACGCTTGGAGGCACACGCATGTGGAGGACGGAAAGGATTGGAGGGGGGCAATCGCGAGAGCTTAAGATTGGCCAAGGGGCGGGGAATAGGGGAAACACTCGCAGGGGAGCTCGCTTGCCACGTTTGCGCAACATCGACGGCCTGTTACATCCGCGTCGATCCTGACGATCTCGCGCGTTTCTCGGCCGAGTCGTCTGAACTCGTCGATGCGGATCCGGCCTGGTGCCCGAATATGATGAAACCTCGAGCAGATGAGCTGAGTCTTGTCGCGTGAACTACTTGAGCCTTTCCAAAACAGCCCATGCGGACCTCAACGTCTGATGTCAAGTGTCTGGTATCGTCAAGTTAAACGGGGCACAACCATCGGCCACCCAGTTCCCCATTTCTATGTATTCAGCTTGAAACCCGTCTTCCTCAGTTTCTGGAAGACACCCAAGGGATCATACTTCCTCGACACCCGGTGCAGAAGCCCCAGATTCTCAGCCCCAGAATACTTGATCGGCTGCTCGTCGCCCCAGGCATAGTTGAGATAGACCCAGTCTATAAAGGTGCCCTGCTTCCGTTGCCTCTCATTAATCGCTGCGACGAGCTCCTGTGCGACGGGCAGAATTGTGCTTTGGTGATCCGCAGTGTCGACGGTGAGCACAACGAGCCACATGAGCGCCGGCCCGTTTGCCACGACGCGCTCGAGCCCAAGGACGTTGCCGCCGCGCTTGTTACTGTTCTTCACCATGGCCTCCGTGACGGGCTGGAAGGTGATGAGAGTCGAAAAGTTGGCATACGGGGCAGCTGCCTGCATCTTTGGCGCAAAATAGTGATGCAGCTCGTCAATGGCAGACATGGCCGCAAAGGTATTCGTCGCCATGCCTGTGAACCAGTTGGTGCTTGAAGAATAGTCAGTCACTGGCCCCAGTGCACGTTGTACAACAACATACTATAGACCCAGCGGCGTGGGCCCAGAGAATTGGGGGATAATCTCGCTCTCAGGTCCCGACGCGAGTGTGCTCGAGATGTTGGGAACGGCGAGGTACTCGTCAAATGCAGGACTGTTCGCCACCCCGTTGGTGTTGGTGAAGATGGATCGCAGGTAAAACCCAGCCTGATCAAAGCCCAAAGCCAAGATGCTCTGATCCGGTGAGTCGTCTACCGTCTGATCAACAAAGTTGACGTACGCCTTGAAGAGATGATCTCTTTCCGACAGGCTGTACCCTGTGAGGCCGCCCCAGAGTAGATTTCCCGGAACGGCGCCTGTAAGCAGGTGTGAGCATCAATTCCGTGATCGGACGTTGAACCCTGTCCGACTTTCGCTCTCAAATGCACTCACGCTGGTCGATCTTGGTGACAAAGCCAAGGTTGCCAGAGGACCCCTTTTGTGCCTTCCACAGGTCCGCGTGCTCGTGCACGTTTGCGTTGACGACGCTGCCGTTGGCGAGCACGATTTCCCAGTTCTCGACCATGTCACATGCCATTCCGTACGCGTTGCTGTGGAAGGAGTACTTTGCTCTGTCAGTATACTTGGCAAGTGAGGCCAGAATAGAGCTTCCGGCCGACGATTGTAAGTCTCAATTGCATTGTCCCACGGATTGAGGCTGGCTCATGGGAGCTGGACGGGCTGACTTACACCGCCGCCCGTGGTGAAGCCGCCGACACCCACGACGGATGTTCGAGCACCCACCACTGTCGCGTTGTACTTGTCCAAGGCCTCGTAGACGGACCCCCATCTCGCGCCTGGCTGTATCGAAACAATTCCCGTACTCGGATCGTACGTCGTTGCATTCATGTAGCCTGTTCGCCGGGGGTCAGTCGCTTCGCCGTCAATGCCCTGTCGCCCATCCGTCCGGCGGCCATACCAAAGTCAATGGTCACACCATCAGCGATGCCATTCGAACCCTTCCATGCCGAATGCGCGCCTGCCTTTATGCCAAATGGGCATTTGTGACGTGTGAGAACGCGAGCAATGACCTGAGCGTCGTGGGTGCTCTCGGGCAGCGCCATGCACCAGGCGCGCTGCGCCGCGTTGGCGGAGTAGTATGTTTGAAGCCGGGCATCATAGGTGGCGCTGTCGGGAGCGAGGATCTTTCCTCGGAGGCTGGCTTGGCTGGCCAAGACGGTGCACTACACATCGTCAGTGAGTGTCGGTGCGTGAGAATACTGGAAAGGGGCCAGACGCAGGAATGGCGAGCGTTCGAGACACCGTCGGTGGCCGTGGCTGCGCATGCCAGCAGAGTCAGCGAGAGTGGTCGCATGGCGGAGGTCGACTTTGAGTCGGAAGGACAGAGAAAGGCCAAGGGCCGAGATGCAAAGTTCCTATTGCCGCGGACTACCTTGAGGTATTAGAAGATGGTGTCTTGGCGGGTCGGTCTGCATGTAAATACGACGCTGCAAGGCTCTGTCGGGCCAGGATCGTCAAAGACTGGAAACAGCAGGCCAGCCTTGCTGTGCACAAAAGTCTCAGAGAGGCATATAACCAATGATTCCGCCTTTGCGGCAGTGGATATGACCACGTTGGGCGACGTTGATCGAGATGCTGGGTCGTATCACAAGTAGGCATACCCGGAGGCGTCACTTTGTACGACAGCGACCACGTACGACGTTCAATTATGTCAAGGATAGTGTCAGAACCCGCTCTGAGCCATTTCGTGCTTCCGTCCCAATCTCGAGCGCTCGTGTTATGTCCACGCTGCAAGACACGCTGCAAGGGATAGCCATATCGCCTGACGATGTGCCTTCAGTCCTCCTTGACAATTAGTCACGACGCACCGAGATGCGAGCTGAATGCATCCCACCCCATCTCGACTTTGCAATCTTGGTCATCTTCCAAAACGGCGCCCACGCTCCCAGTATGGCCGTCACACCGGTGCACAGGATCATTGGCCCGTACTTTGTCGCGTAGCCCAGCGTCTCACCGGTCAGCGCACCTCCCGCGGACACCAGCGCTCCGCTGACAGGTCCGCCGAGGACAAAGCCCACACCCCGCCCGCCGAGCAGCATGCCGAAGACAATGGCTGTGTCTGTCCCGGCGTCGTCGCGCTTGATCTCCTGCAGCATGCCCGACCACGTGGAGCTGAACCCGCCGGCGAAGAAGCCGTACAGGACAACAAAGACCACCAGGTTGGCGAGATGTCTGCTGAGGCCCCAGAGCAAGAATACTGGCAGTGCGCTGCCCAGCGAGGAGATGAGAATGACTTTTGTCGCGGACATTTTGTCGCCGAGGATGCCGTGTATGACGGCCCCGGGCACCGATGCGAGCGAGAAGAGGGCCAGCAGCATGGGGCCCGTGACGGACGAGAGGCCAATGGCGGATGCGTAACTGGCGAGGTAGGTGCTCGGCATAAGATATCCCAACGACTGAATGATGATGCCAATCTGCATCATCCAGAACGGCGCGTGGCGAACGAACCCAAATGACAGCGGGCGTGCCTGGTACGTCCTCGGTAGCGGTACACGCGGCTTCAGGAAGACGAGCGTCGGCGACGTCAATACCGCCGAGGCCACGGCCCAAGAGAGCAACGTCGCGCGAAGCCCGAACCGCTGCAGCAGAGCGCTAAAGACAAACGGCATCGCAACGCCGACGGCCGACTTGCCTGCCCACATGACGCCGTAGGCCATGCCCTTGCGCTCCACAAACCACTCATCCATGTACATCGAGATGGGGCTGAAGAGCAGGCCGCAACCCAGCGCGTAGAGCACGCCTTGCGTGGCGATGAGGCCAGCGACTGAGCTGACGAATGCCGAGGCGGCGATGCTGGCTACCGTGATGAGCAGGCCCAGCGGGCCGCACCAGCGGCGAAGATGAGGGTATCGATGCAGGGCGAGAAAGGCGACGGGCATCATAAGGTACATGATGCCCATCTGTGCGGCGCCGATGGATGCAATGGCGCCGGGTGTGGCATAGAGACGGCTCGACGGCTTGCTGTAGTACTCTTGAAAGATGCCAAACGAAACCGAATACCCTGTCTTGTTAGCGATTATCACGGGCTGCGGCCCGGATTGCCAGACTCACCCCATATGGGAGCTTGGGCGACGGTGCAGCACGCAAGGGCGAGATATGCACCGCGTCCGTGATCCGTGGGTGGCAACGAGTCGCCTTGCATGTGCTCCGTGCTCATGTCGGTCGCTTCATCGTCGCTGCGTGAGATTCTGCCATTGTCGTGGTTCAGCTCATCGAGCTCCCGAGTTTCGGTAGCAGCCATGTCCAAGTGAGGCGTCCAGTTGGCGGCTGCATCGAATTGACAACGGCAGCCAAGTCGCTAGGTTAACGCAAGCGCGTTGGCCGATGAGAACAACAACCAAGAGATGTAAAGTTCAAAATGAGCATGACTGTCGCCTGTGGGTCGAAGCATGGAGTTTATGGATGCGAGAATCCGACATCGCTGGGTTTGGGAGGCACTTGTGACGTAGAGGCGGAGCTCGCGTGAGCAGTTGCCCAATTAGGAGTCGCATCCATGAGCGCAACGAGGCATCGTATGGCGCGTCTACGCCGAGCTTGACAACAAGGTTGCTGGGGGATGACAGACGATTGGCTTCATTGAGCGCACTTGCGGGATCGGAGCGTTCCTGACACGGCGTGTTTACGAAAGAGTGCAATTTGGACCTGCTTAATCCGGGAACCTATTGTGCCCGTGAGCGTGTTCGTGAATCTGGGTAGAACGATTGAGATCGCTCTGAGGCTACAAGTCAATGCTCAACAAGACCCAAGATTCGCACGCCCAATTCCTCGTATTCATGAAGCATTACGGGAAACCTTTGCGCTCAATCATATTGTCGACGAGCGGTGCCGCGAAGTTCATGCAGTGGTTTGCCATCCTGATTGAGCGAATCGCTTAAGAGCTACCCTAGTCACTGTGGGATCGCGCTCAACTTGCATCGTCCACCATAGAGACCAGACTGCTTAAAGCCGTACAAAACTATTACAAGGGGGTCCCATGGAGGTATGTACGAGGAAAGCGGTCGAATGAGACTGTCTTGATCTAATAAAGAACACGCCCCGACAAAGCCCTTCTACTTGCAGACGCGTGCCATGTCGATCAACGTTCACACGAGCCGGGGATCACTTGCCGGCCCACGAATCAACACTCTCAACGAATGTGATCGATTCGGGATTGACCCAAACCGCACCTGTAGCTCGCTCGTCTTGAGTTTTCGCAAGCAAGACGTGCCTGTCATACGCTAAGGATTTCAGTCGAATCTCGCAAGTCCCCTTGCGCTGTCCCAGGAGCAGCAGCATCAGATGCAACCTTCACGCGCCTCGTGGGAGGCCCCTGCGGCAAGCCGCCGCCTCGACGCCAGGTTTGTCGCCACCAGACATCAATCTCCGGATTCTTGGGTGGCTCGGAGAAGCTCTCCAGCGAATCGCCGATGGCCGGCACGGGCTGCCGCAGCTTTCCAGCCTCAACGTGGCCGAACCACGGCCGCCGTGTGCGCGGCTCGCTCGCCTCCGGAGTGGGCGGCTGGCGTCTGACTCGCCGCCACGTCCGTGGGCCGAGGCCTGCCACATGGAGACAGTTGGCGGATGTCATGACTAGCAGCCCACGGTGAGGCGTCTGGTGCAGAACCAGCCAGTCGGTACGTTTGTGCCGCGCGCCGGCTGGCTGGAGTTGACCGATTGAGCGTTCCACTCCCCCGGCTTCAGTCGAAGGCTCCAGTGGATGTTCGTTTTTGGCCACCCGCGGGGCCGCTGAAATGCCCCGAGATCGCGGTCCAGTTTCCACACGTGCCCCGGTTTTGGGAGCCATCGCCAGCTCAAGCTGTGTTCTGAATTACCCCAACAAAGGCCAAGCTCATGTTCTCGAACGACGCGACAGCTGAGCAGCTTCTAGACCAACAAACTAATTCGCACAGGTGTCAGTGTCACAAAAGCGCTGCCGTTGTCTCTACCCGTTGTGGATACGCCCACGGTGGTCGCCGACCGTGCGAGGCTTGGGAGACTTGGTATGGTCTCACCCTCCAGTCCGTCCCCCCCCCCCAAAGTTCGGCGCCCCTAACTGACTTTGGCGTGGCTGGCGACAAGATTTGCTGGGCAATGGCGCAGCTAGGTTTACAGTGAACCGGTCGAGAGACACATACCGAGAGAGGCAAAGACGTAAATATTACCGGATGCCCGTTTGCGCCCGGTCGCCTCTCCCCTCAGCGCCTCGCGCAGCAACTTCCCGACGACACATCAAACTGCAAGTCATCGAAGACGACCCCGGGGTCTCGCCTACACCACGGCTCGTCATCGAGAGAGAAGCGCGCGCCCGCCTCGGCTGGGTTGGACGCGATGGATTGGCCTGGTCGCAGCGATGGGACCCTCGCTCTTTTCGCTGTCTGCGGCGGCCGCCCTGCCGCAGTGGCTCGGCGTCGGCATCAGGGACGTGGCGCCGGGGCCGGTCGCTGAGATGAACCTGACTGCGAGCCTGCCGAGCTGCGCTGTGAGTTTCTTCTACGGGGAGTAGTGGCAGTGTATTCCGTGCTAACGGCTGGGTGTGTCTAGGTTCCGTGTCTGGCCTCCACCGCCGCGAATGCGACGTGCAACGCAACGGACCTCGCTTGCGTATGCTCCAACAATGCGCTCCAAGATGCCGCGAGGCATTGCTTTCACGCCAAATGTTCATTTTCCGATACTCTGAGTACGTGACCCAGAATAGTTCATACCCTGGCGTTGTGTGGCTAACACGGCGGACGCAGCGTCCATAAATGTCACTCACACGGCGTGCGGCGCGCCCGTGCGGGACAAGACGGCGAAGTGGAACCAAACCATCATCCCTCTTGGTGTCGTCACCATCGTCATCGTCGTAATACGACTCGTCTTCAAGCGATTCTTCAGCGCGACCTCGCGGCTCGGCTCGGACGACTGGGCGATCACGGGAACCCTGGCCATATGCATCGCCGGCATGGTCATTGGCATCGACGGCCTGACAGCCAACGGCATGGGCAAAGACGTCTGGACCCTGACGACAAACGAAATCTCTAATGTCGCCCTGTACCTCTATATCCTGGAGATACTCTACTTTGCCGGCATGTCGCTCATCAAGCTCAGCCTCTCGCTGTTCTACCTGCACATATTCTCAGGGCCCATAATACGGAAACTGCTCTGGGCCACCGTCGTGTTCAACGTCTTGTATGGCTTCACCTTTGTCATTGCGGCAATCTTCCAGTGCTCGCCCATCGACTATTACTGGCGGCGGTACCTCGACGCAGGGCACGGCTCGTGCGTCAACATCAACATCTTCGGCTGGCTGAACGCGGCCATCGGCGTCGCTATCGACCTGTGGATGATTGGTCTTCCGCTCAGCCAGGTGATTCCACTGCGGCTGCACTGGAAGAAGAAGATTGGCGTGGCTATCATGTTTCTGCTGGGCACATTGTACGTTCAATTATCCTCTTTCGATCAGGGTCCACGGTCTTCACCGGTCGGCACCCCCTGCTCAGTCCTCCCGCTTACAAGTCTACTCTAGCGTCACGGTCGTGTCGATTCTGCGGTTGCAGTCGCTCATCCTGTTCGCCAACTCAAACAACCCGACGTGGGACCAATGGGCGACGGCGTATTGGTCCGTCATCGAAGTCAACACGGGCATGATTTGCACGTGCCTGCCGTCGCTCAGACTCATCCTGGTCCGAATGTTCCCCAGGATATTCGGCTCGTCGAAGCAAGCGACATACGAAAAGGGCAATAGAGAGCCAGCAAGTAAGGCCGGACACAATGTCGCAGTCGACTTGCAAGAAAATGAATGGCACGCTCCTCACGATGGCGAGCACGAGCGCATGACGCAAGACCGGATCTGGGGGACATGATGATTACATGAAATTCGCCTTGCGAAACACAGTATCCATAAACACAGAACGGCCTGGGCGCCCGACGACTCCTCCGACAACAGCAGGCCGCAAACGTCTCTCGGCATCGCACAAGACCATGGACCATGTCGCTGCACGACCGAGTCTTGCATAATTGCTCATAATGCCCAAGGCGCGCCCGCTCAGCACGTGCAGCCTCTGCCGCAGTCCCATCTAATCGCCTGACGAGACCGGTCACGATGACGGCAGGCGTCAATGGCGATACCATGGGGTGTGTTGAGCCAAGGGTATGCCGGGCCCAGGAGACGAAGCATTATTAGCCCCCCCTCGATCACGGCATAAGGGGCGCCAGACCGCCATCTGCCTAGGTCGTGGGGACTCTCATCGACTAGCCGGCCGAGATTGATGGATTGCACGAGGATCCTGATCCGGACCCTCCAGACCCGAGTCTTGGCAGCACTGACCGATCCAGTGGCGGGCAGTTTGTACATACCAGTTAATAGAGAGACATATATTTATGGACATTCGCCGAGTCGTTACTGTGTTGTCGACCTGGCATTTACTGTTCAGCCGTGACAGGTTCTTGGGCGATATAATGCTGCACTCGTGAGCCTTGCCGTGCTGGCGCCCGCTTGCACTGGTCATTCGTCGACCGCACACATGTCCGCTTCATATTGGCGCCACTTGGCGCAATGTCCGACGATCCGGAAGCGGCAGCGACACGGGTCTCAGGTCTGGACAACACTGCTCTGACTGCCACGGCCAGTCCGCGAAATGTACGTCGAGCTGTCATCTGTGCAGCCGAGGTAGCACGGCATTCTATGTCGGATTGAGGACTGGATGCGACCGCAAAAGTACCGACTTTGCTGCCAATGTCACCAGGCCGTGCATTGTCGTTTCGTTTCGTGCGGGAAACATGATTCGAGGCTCTGCTGTAGCTATTTTTATCCCCCGTGAGCTTGAAATCGTTCGATCCCAGTGCCCGCAATGCATCTTGAAGGTTTGGCATGATGAACGCCGGGCGGCATAATCGAGACATGGAACCCGAAAGGGTCATGAGTTATGCACGATCATCCGCACCGCATAACGCACCACAGCACCCGTTCCTCGATCAACAGGCATGGATGGCACTGCTCCACCGTGAGACTGACTGCGGCAGTGATTACCTCACTCTATCGTATATGCAAGCACTGCCTGGGAGACGTGCTTGGCGTTGCGGTGCATCCGCGCTGCCGCCCGGCGGCGGCGGTGTGCGCGCGTATGTATGTAGAACAGCGAAGGGGACGACATGGACACATTAGCAGCTCTCGAAGGCCCAGCTGGCATGACATCGTTCCACCGACCCCTCGGTATTTCGGGCAAGCCGTGAGCCGCAGGACCCGTATGGCCGGCTGACCCTTGCCCATGTCCACGACATGGACTCCATGGCGAGGGTCGGGGGAGGTTGCACAAACAGTGCCTGCCCCGTTGCCCGACTCTTCTGTTCGCGGCTGCTTCGGTTTAGGCTCGGCCGCAGATGGCTGCCTCCCGACGGGTAGCGAACGACTCGAAGGCGGGGGTGGCAACATGGAAGACAGCCTCACAATGCGGTCGGTCGTCAACGGGCTGCATCGCCATCGACGGAGCGGCTGACAACAACGAAGTCCCGTCAGAGGAGCTAAGATGCTAAACTAAGCCGGATCCCGATCCCGGCAGCGGGAGATCGTAGACCGCCCGGTAGGAATACGAGGAGCCAGCGTCACTCGGGTGGTCGGGGAGTGGGGTAGAAGCCGCTGGGTAGCATCCGCCGAGCATCAATCACGAGAGGAGCAGGCAGAGGGCTCGCTCCTCGCCTTGCTTGGCTGACGCAGGGTCCCTTGATCGCGGCAGGCGAAGCCCCCCAGGCCCGGCAGTGCATCGCCTCCCGGCCGTCATCATCATGTGCCCAGCAAAAGCTCACCCGCCCTTGCAGCTTTCGCCAGCAAACCCTCTCTCACCTCTCCTCCTCACCCTGCGAGGGTCCCATCGGCCGCGCAGAAAAGTAAGCGGCCCTTTTTTGCCCATTCTTTTACGAGGCGGCCCACACCCTTAGCAGACTGCCGATCACCCCGTGTTCGGTCATTGTCGATCTAAAAGGGGACTCCCGTGTGGGCGCGAGCGGTGCGGGCGCCGGTTGGCGGGGAGAATGGGTGGGAAGAAGACGGAGAAGGGAAGGGAGTGAAGTCATAGGGTTCAATGAGACGGCAGGGCTGGGGGCATTGTTGTCCGGTTCGTTGGAGCTGTGCTTGCTGCCTTGCCTTGCAGCATCTGCATAGGCGAGCGCGCTGTTGAGACAGGGTCCGAGAGAGGGTATATAAGAAGGCTGGTGTCTCGCCCTGTTGTTGATGATTCTTTGGAGTGCATCCTCAACAGTACAGCATCTTGCCTCTATCCAAGATCATCACCACTTACACACATATACACACCACATCCACACATCTCACGACATCAACATCCACAAACCACCCAACATGCAGCTCACCCAGACTCTCGTCGCCGCCCTCATGGCCGCCTCCTCGGCGCTGGCCGCCCCGGCCCCGGCCACCAAGTCGATGAAGGCCTCTGGCGCGGAATGGACCATCGAGAAGATGAAGCGCGTGTGCGCCAGCGACGACAGCTCCTGCACGTGGACGTTCGGCATCAACCCGCACACCGGCACGACGACCGAGTGCAAGTACGTCGTCACGCAGGCGCACGCCTCGCGCGCCAACCCCGGCGCCCCGGGCAACTGCGGCGACTACACCATCACGTCGGGCTGGAGCGGGCAGTTTGGCGAGGGCCAGGGCTTCACCACGCTGTCGGTCGTGGACAACAAGAACAGGCTCATCGTCTGGCCCGCGTACAGGGACGTGCAGGTCCAGGAGGGCAAGGTCGTCGAGCCGGACCAGAGCTACCCTGCCCAGAAGCTGCCTTAGATTAGGCAGACAAGCAGTAAAAACGGGTGCCGGTCATTGCTTTGAGCCGCGAGGCAGAGGAAGCAAAGGGTTCAATGGGGTGGGACCAGACTGATGGGAATGGATGGGATCAAGGTTATGATGGTACATGCTTCGGAGTAACGTACAACCAGAGTATAGTAATGCCTAAATTTATTGCACTGAAACAGTAGCATGATTCCGCTCTACACATGTTCGTTTCCTGTGTGGACTTCTGTCCGTCTGCCAAGGCCAGTGCTTCAGCGAGAGACAGAAACCAGGGCAACCCAACCCCTCGACATTCCATCGACGATCCCCCGCCGCGAAGAAGAACTCATCATCCAGGGACCAACTCAGGCTGCCCAACCCCTCGACAACCAACCCATCCATCACTCAACCAGGATACCGCTCGCTAAACGCATCATGCCACTTGCCGACGATCGCATTACCCGGCCCCGCCGTAATCATCTCCTCGCCCGCCTCCCACTTCCGCTGCACCTCGTCCATAAACTCCTCCACGGTGAGCGTATTCTCATTCTTGTGCTTCTTGTTGTCGTCCGGGTCCTCGCGCTCGCGATGCAGATCCGTCGCGACCATGGGCGGCGCAATCTCCACGACGCGCACGTGGCGCAGCTCCGCCGAGCGCGCCAGCTGCGTGCGCAGGTTCATGCTCCAGAAGTGCAGCCACGCCTTGGTGCCGTTGTACACGGGGTTGATGATGGAGAAGGGCACGAAGCCCAGCACGCTCGACACGTTGACGATGGTGGCGCGCGGGCGGGTGCGCAGGTGCGGCAGTAGAAGGAGGGCGAGGTGTAGCGGCCCACGGATGTTGATGTTGATTTCGGCATCGGCGCGGGAGAGGAAGTCGGCGGCGTCGTCGTTGGCCACGTCGAGGGGTCGCTGCACGCCCGCGTTGTTGATCAGGCAGTCGAGGTCGGGGTGCTCCGTCGTGAGGTGCTGCACGAAGAGCGGCATGTCGTCCGTCTTGCCAGTGTCGAGCACGTAGTAGCCAGCGGCGCCGATCTCGTCGGCCGCGGCGCGCAGGTTGGATTCGGTGCGGCCCGCGAGGAGGACCTTTTTGCCGCGCGAGATGAGCCACTGCCCGAGGGCTTTGCCGATGCCGCCGCCGCCGCCGGTGACGAGCGCGCAGGTGAAGTCGAGGGGGTGGGTGTCGGGCATGTTGTGCGTCTTGTAACTTAGGTTCGCTTCACTGTGAGCGTGTAAGTGGTGTTGAGGCGCGGTGAGCTTCTTCAAGTGCGTGCAGGCGCGATTGGCATTCGACTCTGGGAGTTGATCGTTCACAGAAGCCGGCGGCCTTCTATCCCATTTATCAAAATCTCTATCCAGCGTCCTTGATGTCTCAAGGCGCCCGTAATTACGAAGCCATTGCCCGGCGTCGTCCGGCGCGACACGTCATTGACGTCGACGATGGAGCCACGTCCGTCCCGATCGGGATTCTGGGGTCTAGCGCCGGCCTGCTAGTGCCGGCCTACTGCCGCTCCGCGCCGCTTCTCCCGGTTTTTATCAGGGCCGCGGGCATTGTTGTCGCCGACA